TTTTTTTGCATTCTTGAGAAATAGACGGATTTTTGTTTTTTTTTGTCAAACGTAATTTAAACAATTTTCTTCAAAATTGCATAAGAAAAACAAAGAAAAATAAGTGTTTTGCAATGTAAAATGTTACAAAAATAACAAATCTGTGCTTAAAACTTATATGCATGGATTGATTTTTGAAATTTTTGATCGGTTTTTCTAAGTCAAACTTAATTTATAGATCATTTTTCCAATTTTATGTCATTTTGACTTAAATTCACAACTAATATTTTTGTTAATTCACTACTACATACAGTTATTAATTACTTACCTGAGTTATTAACTTAATTTGGAAGTATTATTTTCTTCTAACCGTAAATGTGAAATGAGGTTATGTCATTTTTGTACAGTTGCGGAATTAAAATTTCGGGCAGTATTGTCATTTTCATAAAGTAAACTCTAAAACAACCTTTACATTAATAACCTCATTTTTTACTCTTGTCATGTTTATGTCATTTTGACTTATTTATTTTCAAAAATAGTAATTTGTGGCATAATAACGGGTAGGCAGCAGATCAAAGCGATGATTTAATTACACTTAGTTCAATTAATAAAATTCCTAGGACATTTAATTAACAATTTTAACAACAAAAAAATATATTTATTTGTCAAATGTCAGTCATGATGACAATAAAAGGTAGTTTACAGTGAACTTTTTAAAGTCACCGCAACAGTACTTCTGCACTATTAAACGAATTTTCTAACTTCATTATATGAAATATTTGTTAAAAAACAAAGATACTGCAATGAAATGGGAAAAAGTGTTAAAATTTGCCTCACTACCAATAGTATTTTAACAAGGAATAAACCCATTTGTTGTTTTGACAGTTTTGACATAGACAGAAGCACTAGAGTTGGTGTTATTCTAATGTTTTTAATGAAGCAGTCTTTTTTATTTGATTTTGCATTAAGTTCATCTCGAAATACTTCCGCTAGTAATTGCGATGGTAATATTTTTTAATAATAATATTGTAGAAATATTTATATAAATGTAATACCCATTTACCCACCTCTAATTTAATGGCGGACACGGAATTTTGGACATCAAATTTATGTCAGTTCAAAAAATGTCAAATGTCAATTATGATTGACGTTTGAAACTAAAATTTAAAAGTTTTAGTTGAAATTAATGAAACAATAATGCCAGGAATAGGTGTTTTTACATAAGTTCAATAAATTATTTTGATTTCTTGTCATTTTTTCTCTAACTATCAGGATAAAAATTACAAAAACCGAAAGTGAGGTTAGTTTAGGCCCGTTTTACACAAACTAAATAAAGATATCTTTTCAGCTAGTAGTGAAAAAAAAATCATTTTTATAATTCCTATAATTTTTATTTATAATGTAAGTAAATAATAGAGAGTAAGACGTCTTACATAGTTGTTTTACGCTTATTAATTAGCAATGCGACAAATTTAAAGGTATTATTTTGATTTCAAATAAAATCAGCATAAAAAAGTAGTCCAAAAAATATATTGTAATTTTCTGTTTGTGAAAGCTGAAACAATTCAGTTATAGCTTCCAGTTTCGTACATTATTTAAATTGGCAAAGGAAAAACGCAGCAAGACTCAGCGCTTCGAGTCTCGTAGAGAGACAGTTTTGTGCGCCACATGGAAATTTATAACCGCTGTCAATTTTGAATATTGTACAAAAGACCACATCGCCATCTTTTCTTTGTATTATACCACCGAATTTTCTACTTATATTGGAAATGTTATTTATCGACATTTTCCGATATTGTATCGCCGATAAAATACGCTTGTTATTAGCCAATCGGTGGCACCAAACGTCTCCAATAAATTTCGCACTTTGGCCATTTTTTCCCAGGAACAGAAACCGAAGAATTATGTCGAACGTGAATAAAAAATGAAATGTATTTCAGGCCCCTGCGAAGTCGATCGGCGAAATGACAAGCTCGGAACCGGATGTCTCAGGTCTCGTTTCGCGTTCTCTAAGTTTGAGTTTCGTGGCCGAACGGAAACACTCCCATGGGGACAGTCTCGAGCTTCGCTGCATGTCCTCGCTGCCAGGGGTGCCTCTCCCTCCCCAAGAAACAACGCTCAAAATTCCCATAAGAGTCCCAGATGCTCAAGTTATCAACAACCAAAAACTACATTGGTTCAATTCGCCATCATCATCGACGGCAAACACGCTCCAAGTCACTTGGATTTTAGTGCTGGCGAGCGTCGTGCGATGGGGCTTCACAGCCTTTGGAGATGGCGTCCGATAAGTAGTGATTTTTTGACTGATTGAACATTTGCGAAGGGAAAATAGTGTAAGTGCGTTAATTTTTGAAAATTGGTTAAACTTACAGTTGGAGACAAAATACTTTGGTCGTCACTTTTCTGACACTTTAATGTAATTCAAGCTTCAACGTTAAAATGAATGACAATTTCAAATTAATGACAGCTATTATACTTTCCTATCAAAAATACGGAATTAAAATTTCGGGCAGTATTTTTCTGTCACTTCAAAAAATTCACTATAAAGAACCTTTTACTGTCATCATGACATTCATGACTGACATTTGACAATTAAACTTGTCTGTCAGTGACGCTATTTTTTAAGTCAAAATGACATAAACATGACAAGAGTAAAAAATGAGGTTACTGTGAAAATGACAATACTGCCCAAAATTTTAATTCTGCAACTGTACAGGGTGCTACATTTTGGATGTCCGAATAGGGAATCTCCGAAACTAAGAGGTTTAGCCAAAAACTTGTAATACATTCTGGGGCTCATTTTTTGAGAAAATAATATTGGTTAAAACCGCATCCCGTTATCGTCTTTTGTTTTCGACGAAAATTGACATTTTAGCGAAATCTAAAAAAATTCATATCTTCGTTATTATAGAAGATACGGATTTGAAATAAAAACATTATGCAGGTACTTTTTTACGTAGAATTTAATAATGCAGTTAACAATTTTTTTCAGTCGTTTGTTTAGCTGTAATAAAATAAACTTGTATTTTTTTAAATGGGAATCATAGATGGGTATGTCATTTTTAAAAAGCTTGTTTTTTTCTTATCTAAAAAATATATTTTTGTAACAAATTATTATAATACATTCTTAGCAAAAAATTATCTTTGATTTTTGTTCGCAGTTGGCCATGAAAACATGTTGCATCTTCAACTAAAAGGATTTAAACTATATTTTATTCAACCAGTGTCACTAATGAAAGAGTTTTCTAAGTACTAAGTGATGAAAAAGATGCAAAATAAATTGTACATCAACTTATTGGCGACTAATAACATTTCTTTGTTTTTAAACAAGCTAACATTGCCATTGCAACTTCTAGTGATACGTAGAGTGTTGTAAAAAAAGCCGCTTTAATTCTTCAATAAAATATATTTTATATGACACAAAAATGACGATATGGCTATTCAAATACCCAAATTCCGTCTATGTGAAACGTTATTCTACCTCCATTAGATCATCAAAAAAATGTTTTTTGTAATTGTGTTGACTGTTGACACATTTGTTTTTCCTATTTTTGGATTTTTTAAAAATATGTAATAATTTTGTTCTGAGGCGCTTGGATATTTGTTCAATGCTTCTACCGTATCGTATGTTTTAAATCTTTATAATTTTATCTATTTTTTCATCTATTTTACAGTTCACAAAACTCTTATTGATTATTATTTACACATTTGGAGTGAAATAGTTTTTCCATGGCCAACTATTATCACACAAAATATGTATTTTACTTTTTAAGTATAGTTATAAAAAAATATTTTGTTATAAATATATATTTTTTAGATCAGAAAAAAATAAGCTTTACAAAATTGCCATAGCCGCCTATGATTTCCATTTAAAAAAATACAAGTTTATCTTATTACGGCTAAACTAATAACTGAAAAAAATTGTTAACTACATTATTAAATTCTACGTAAAAAAGTGTACGTATAATGTCTTTATTTCAAATTCGTATCTTCTATAATAACGAAGATATAATTTTTTTTTAGATTTCGCCAAAATGTTAACTTTTGTCTGTAAGTCGAAAACAAAAGATGACAGCGGGATGCGGTTTTAACCAATATTATTTTCTCAAAAAATGAGCCCCAGAATGTATTACTCGTTTTTGGCTAAACCTCTTAGTTTTGGAGATTCCCTATTCGGACATCCAAAATGCAGCACCCTGTACATACAACTTGTCATCTATGATTAAGAGTAGCTAAAAATAAGGTTAACAGTCCTAAAGCATGCTTTACAATTTAATGTCACTTAAGTGACATTGACGACCAAAGTATTTTGTCTCCAAGTGTACATAGGGATAGCTAGATCCTATAGTTAATAAAGTTTTTTGTTTCAAGTGTGGTGTCCCAAAAAATATACAGGTGTGCCAGAACTCGCGCCCTGGTGAAAGTACGATACCAGGAACATGAAAAAAATGTAAAAAAACATAATAAAAATTTCGCAGTTATGAGACTTTAAATTTTGCACTTTGACTCTATTTATTTAAAAATAATTTTCCAAGTTTTTGTTACTGGTTATTAGAAGAGGAAACAAGGAAGCTGTATCCTAATTGTAACTCTGTTTAATGTTATTTGTGACTTTTATTAACAAAATTTTTGTACCTTTACTAAATAATTAAAAAAATCACATACAAGATCATCAGACTCTTTCTAAACTGATAGATTTTACTTTTTTAACATCTTGGTGAAAAACTCTATAACAAGAAAAGTACCAGAATCGCTATGTAAATTGAAGTAATTTGAAACATGTGGGGTTGGTATCACGATACGTCCGGATATTCCTACGCGGACAGTGTTTTGACAGAATTTTGACACTTTTTTATTGTAAAAGTTTTAAAATACCTGCGTGTCATGTGTCATAGCAAATACCATGAATGATGTTACCTACACATTCCACAACCACGCGGTAATATGTGTGCAATTATTCTAAATATTTTCATTACAATTTTTAGAGGTTAGGTTACATTCAAATTATTATCTTTTAAGGCCCCAACGCTGAAACGCAGTCATATTACTGAGTGCAATAATAATACTGCTCATTAATACTTTTTTTCAAGGCATTCCTACTAAAATGTACTTTTCCGCGAAATTTCAAAGGTACTACTTTTTCGGCGGAGGATGTCGGCAATCGACCTTTGCTGTCACTATTCTATCATTAATTATCTACACCTTTTCCAAGTGCTATCACATGCATTTCAGATTAGTTAATTTAATTTCAGAAAGCATAAATTGAAATTCAGATTAGTCAATTATACAGTGTGATCAAAAAGTATGTCTATCAAGCAAGCGTAGAAATTTAAAACATATGTCTGTGGAAGATAAAATGTCACAATGACATATGAGAAATGTCAAAATAATCTTTATGTAAATTATGACAGGAAACTGTGGTGAAGGATTTTTATGAATAAACACTAACAAAATCTTATTTTAGTTTGTTTTGAGACGTTTCATAGAATAATTCAATTTAATTAACTCAATGTTTTAATTTTTATAAAATAATTTTTTGACATCTTATTGTTATCTCAAAATGAAGTTCACACATAAACACGAATTATTTTATCTTCAAAACTAAAGAATTACATAAACTTGGTATTATACAAAATAAATAAGACATTTTATTTAAAATTTCAGAATTTGTTATTTTCATTTAAAAATTACAATTGACGAATTCTCAATTACAAGTGACAAACTCTCTGAATTCCATCTTATATTTTCTGAAATTCATTTTACTGTTTTGAATTACAATTAATGTTTTTTGAAATACATCTTACGCTTTCCTAATTACACTTGAAAAAGGTGTAGACTACATCATTAAATAGACATAAAAAATGTCAAATGTCAAAATTTTTTGAATTTTTTAAACATTTTTCCATATTCTTGGTGTCTTATCTTACTTGAAATTTTTCTCTGGGGCGCGAGTCACACACCCTGTTCAAAAAACGCCAAACATTTGTTGATAGTTAGAACACTTTTCAAACATCTTTCAACGAGTGAAATCATATCAAAACAATTATTGTAATTTAATTTTGATTGCGATTTGATGATATAAACCTATTTATTCAATTTCACGATACCATAAAATTGCACTCTAGATTTGTCTGTTATTTGTGATATTGAGTAATTTATAATCAGTGTATATGTACAATATAAATAAATTTGTTTCCTGTCTTCACTGTTTGTTTTCTCCACCTTTTTTGGATAAGTGTAAGTAGAAATATTGTCCTCAACGTTCCTCTTTCCGCCATGAATTTAGATGAGAAGGATATTAAACTAAGACGTTGCTGTCATGAAAAAGATACTCAAATTTTAACGTGTGTTACTAGAATTGGATTTTTACTTGATTTATGATAGAAATACGTGCATGAATATTAAAGTTATTTGGACAAAAAGTTGAAGACTTTGTACCTCCTGAATGTACAGGGTTATTCATAAATATGAAGCAATATCTGAACCTCAAAATGACCTATAAAATGATGTTAATTTAAGTAATAACTCGAGTCCTATCTCTATTGATAAGAATTTTACAGCCCTCGGAATGTGGGTATGGAAATTTGATTTTTTTGTAATAACTTTGGAACTATTTGACCAAATATTATAAAATTTGGAACATTTCCCTGTGACAACATACCTTTTAAACTGGTAGTCACGAAAACCGGATACATCCACTCAATTTCCGGTTCCAGCAGTTGCAGGTCACATTTTCTGTATTTTTCCATTTTTTTGCTCTCTTAACACCAATTTTTTATTGCCCAAATCGATAGAGTAATCAATTTCGATTAAAAAACTCATAACCTTTAATACCCCTAAAATGGACCGTTTCAAAGATATTTTAATTTAAACTGAGGACTGCACAACGCTGAAACCAAAAAGTAGGGATTTTGAATGGATGATATCCACGGTAACAAATGACCACGGTCTCACTAATCGCTGTCAGGCATCTGTCAACTTTGACATTGGACGATTATTAGACAATTAATCGAAAATATTTAATGAAAGAGTTTACCTCAGATTCCAAACATAACTTAGAATAAATCCAAATGGATCTCGTAGCATTTAATTCATAAAAAATTCACAAAAATTTATCGTCAAAGTTAACAGATGCCTGGCAGGGATTTATGTGACCATGGTTATTGGTTGCCGTGGATACCACTTATTCAAAATCCGTATTTTTTGATTTCAGCGTTGTGCAGTCCTCAGTTTAAATTAAAATATCTTTGAAACGGTCCATTTTAGGGGTATTAAAGGTTATGCGCTTTTTAATCGAAATTGATTACTCTATCGATTTGGGCAATAAAAAATTGGTGTTAAGAGAGAAAAAAAAAATGGAAAAACACAGAAAATGTGACCTGCAACTGCTGGAACCGGAAATTGAGTGGATGTATCCGGTTTTCGTGATTACCAGTTCAAAGGGTATGTTGTCACAGGGAAATGTTCCAAATTTTATAATATTTGGTCAAATAGTTCCAAACTTATTACAAAAAAATCAAATTTCCATTCCTACATTCCGAGGGCTGTAAAATTCTTATCAGTAGAGATAGGACACGAGTTATTATTTAAATTAACATCATTTTATAGGTCATTTTTGAGGTTCAAATATTGGTTCATATTTATAAATAACCCTGTATACATAAACATTCATGTTGGCTCATAAATGCATCGAAATTGGATGCCAAGTTTTCATATAGTTCTATGTGCCACATTAGTTTTAAGATAAAGGAGTAGAGGAGTCGCTCTAACTGGGCAATCTGCATTTATATGACCGTTACCAAGGGGATATTTCAACCGTATCTAGAGACAGAGATCTTATCTTACACGTTCTCCTGCTTTCCAATGAAATTTTCCCAATAGATAACCGAATTTTCTGGAAACTCTACGACTTGGCGAAATCAACTTAGCACAACTCCAAGTTGTTGAATAATTAGGTAGGTGCAATACGAGCTTAAGAGTAACAACAAAGGGCAATTCTCTAACTTTTGAGATTAATCTGGATACCCGGAACGCTCCGGAATTGACAGAATTAGCTTTCAAAGTGTCAAAACCTTAAACGCGTCTGTGGCTTCAAACGACTCCGGATTTTCTCCATTGGATCGCAAATAGTTCCCGGATTTCTAGGATATTCCGACTTTATTCTGATAAAGAATTTTCATACTATTAGAATAGGAAGAAAATAAGGTGTCTTCATACAGGGTGTCCCAGCTATTTGAAAAGTCCATTGGTGACCTTTAAAAGGTACAATTTAAAAAAAAAAATTATAGGACGTTGATAGATACTAATCTAGTGCATTACCTAAAATTATTTTCAATCATACAGCATGTCCCAAAAATAAGTTACAAATTTGTTTTTTTAAATGAAACAACGTATGTTTCTTTGCATTTTTGGATGTAGCCTTTTAAAACAACATTTTTACGCTAAACTTTTATTAGTCGATTTCGCTTAGTTTTAGAAATAAGACGTTTTTTTGACGAAAACATGCACTTTTTAAAAATTTATTACACAAAAACTAAGACAACTAGAACATTTTTTTCTTACTTCTGCAAAGAAGAAAGTACAGAATTTAAAGCTGTAGAATTTTTTTAGTATTGTACATTTGTAAAGATTAATAAATTAAGAAGTTTGTTAAAAGTTAATTAATATAAAAAATAAATAAACACCTTATTTTTTATTTTTGTATTTAATAGATTGATAAATTGTCTATGTAAAAAAATAACTTTTAATGTCTAGAATTGATATTGAAATAAAACCTTAGTAATTCCACCACGGATCACTTACCCGTTTATTTATCCAGAGATTGTAAAAGTCGTTATAAATACTGAAATTCGAATTATTTTATTGTAAAAATAAAAAATAATGGATTCAGTTTAACACAGACAATTTAATAATCATTTAAATGCAAAAACAATAAATAGGGTGTTCCATTTAATTTTTTTAAGTTATTGAACTTTTAACAAACGCCTTCATTTTTTTATCTTTACAAATGCAACACACTAAAAAAATGTTACAACCTCATAGCTTGTACCTTCTTCTTTGCGATAATAAAAAAAATATTCCTAGATGTCTTAGTTTTTGTGTAATAAATTTTTAAAAAGTGCATGTTTTCGTCAAAAAAATCGTTTTATTTTTAAAACTAAGCAAAATCGACCAGTTTAAAACATTATCATAAAAGTCTACATCCAAAAACGCTAAGAAACATATGGTGTCTCATTTAAAAAAACACAAGTTTGTGTTGGAACTTATGTTTGCGACACGCTGTATAGTTGAAAATAATTTTAGGCGATTGACTAGATTCTTATCGATCAATGTCCTATATATTTTTTTTTACTTTACCATTTAAAGGTCACTAATGGACTTTTTCAATTCGCTGGGACACTCTGTATGTGTGAAATTTTAAACGTTGCAAATTATTTTTGATAAAACTTTAAACTCGACTGAAGTGGCGTTTTTGTACTACAGGGTGAATATAAAGAATGGAACCAAGCGTTTTTTTTTAAATCATTTGTCTTCAGAAAATAATAATTAATGTAAATTAACGTAATATAAAAAATGAGCTCGTATTTTGAGAACGAAATTTTGTCTTGTTTATGAGTTATGCGATTTTTTTTTGTCAAAATTGCAATTTATGAATTTTTTTTTTAATTAAATATGAAGTAGATAGTTGTAATCCTTAGATCATAACCTTTATGAGAAAAATGGTTTTATGGTGGGTTACTATTTAAAAAAATAAAAAAAATCAAAAACAAAAGAAAATTTCGAAAAGTTTTATTCTTAATAAAACATCACATCTTTAAAGTACTTTATCGTTCATCAATTAGTTTTTCCAAAAAATTAATAGTTTAAGCAAAAAACGTTTGGTTCCATACTTTTTATTCACCTGGTATGTAAAATAAATGTATTGTCTAAATATTTACGTATAGTAAATTCTTGTCACAAGCAACATTTGGGTTATTGATTATTGTAAAAGGACGTCCTTTGTGTTTATTCCAAGCGATAAATCTTATTATGAAAAGGCACTCACCTGCATCTGCAGATAGTGAACATAATTCACTTTCCCATTGATCTGTAACAATAGCGATAGAAATTATCGGAAGACATATCACTGCCACAAGGAAATTCGTTTTGATAAGGCTGTATAAGAATTCTGCTATACAGACTGCGCCAGAACTCGCGCCCAGATGTAAGGTAAGTACCAGAAACATAAAACAAATGTTAAAAAATTTTGTCTATAAAAATTTCGAAGTTATGGAGAAATCTTGCACTTTGACGCTATTTATTTCTGTTAGAAAAATAATAAATAACACGCTATTAGAAGAGGAAATGGTAATTCTGTTTAATGATATTTGTGGCTTTCATTGGCAAAATTTTTGTACTTTTACTAAATAATTATATAAAAAAAAAACATATACAAGATCATCAGTCTCATTAAATAGACTAACAAAAAGTCAAATGTCAGAAAATAAATGTCAAATGTCAAAAAATAAATCTCAAATTTTTTTGACATATAGAATTTTTCAATCGTAGATAATTATATTAACATTTTTTCCATGTTCCTACTATCTTATCTTGAAGAACGTGTAAGACTGAACAGATACCTGTGGAAAAAATCACGAATTTGTGTCTTATGATGTAAAAAAAACATTTAACAAACTAGCAAATTCAACAACAAATTAAATGTAACAACATCGGAAACAAAAAAACTAAGATAATGATGATAATATGAAAATTGACAGTTCTGTTCTTTTTTCAAAAAAAAAAACCTTTAAACAAAAATCTCAATTCATTTTTATGCATAACATGCTAAAAATTTAAAAAAATTGTACAATCCTACAATAATATGAAACAAACAAGAAATTATTCTTTTTTTAGTATGAACATAAAGTATGGAACCAAGAGTTATTTTAAAATTTATAAAATGAAAATATACATTTTCATAAATTTTTTACGATTAAAGATAACCAATTTTTCCCTCTTTTTTAAGTGAATAACTGAACTGGAAAAGAGAATCGCGGAAGCAGGAAATGAACTACGGTAGATAAAGCAACTGGACGAGATGAACAGACCTCATAAGATCCACTAAACAAAGTTCTTTCATGCACATTTTGAGCTTTCCTAATTTTATTACATATTAGCTTCTAAATTGCTTTTGCGTCATAATAAACTAATATTGCAAAATTAACAATAATTAAATATTTGTTTTGTTTTATATTATTAGTGTTTCCATTAGCATTATTTATTATATTGTTTAATTTATACATATTTTTAATTTCTTCCTGTTACATTTTTTACTTTATTTTTCCACAACCAACATTACGATCTAGATGGTGGGTTGCCTAAGCTAAAGTAAATATACAACCGGAACAGAAATAAGTACAGGTTAATTTTACTTGTTGAGTAAATATGTACCAGATCATTTGAATTTAACTTGAGTGAAAATTGTCAAAAACAAAATTGTCAAATTTTTCAAAGATTTACATAGTGTGAGAAAAGTATTCCCAAAAAGGTTAGAAAACTATCAAAAGAAATATATTATTTGGTGGTTTTTCCAGTGCAGTGTCATAGTCAGTGTTACAAACGAAATGGAAAAACATGGAAAAATTTGTAAAAGTGTGGAAGTGTGAATTGTGACAAAGATAACGTCAAAAAACTGGCATTTGTTAACAAGCCAAATTACATTATAAAAAATCAATTTGCGTTTCTTTGCACTCAAGTGTACTTATACAGGATGCGCCAGAACTCGCGCCCCAGAGAAAATATAATGTAAGGTAAGATACCAAAAAACAAACAAAAAAATATCTGTAAAAATTTTGGAGTTATGAGGGTTTAAAGTTTGCATTTTGACTCTATTTATTTCTGTTGGGAAAATAATTTTTCAAGTTTTTTTGCTATAGGCTATTAAAAGAGGAAACAAGGAAGCTGTATCCTAAATTGTAACTCTTTTCAATGTTATTTGTGGCAAAATTTTTGTCCCTTTACTAAATAATTGTAAAAAAAACATATACAGGATCATCAGTATCATTAAATAGACATAAAAAAATGTCAAATGTCAAAAAATAAATGTCAAAATTTTTAGACAGAGAATTTTTTAAACATTTTTTTCATGTTCCTGGTATCTTACCTTACTTGAAAATTTTCTCTGGGGCGCGAGTTCTGGAGCATCCTGTATGTATTTACGTAAATGCATTGTGGACACCTGTACAGTTGGAGACAAAATACTTTGGTCGTCAATGTCTTGAGTGACATTAAATTGTAAAGCACGCTTTAAAACTGCTTATTTTTATCTACTGTTAATCATAGTTGACAAGTTGTATGTACAGTTGCGGAATTAAAATTTCGGGCACTATTGTCATTTTCATAATGTAAACTCTAAAGCCACCTTTACATTAATAATCTCATTTTTTACTCTTGTTATGTTTATGTCATTTTGATTTATTTACTTTCAAAAATAGTGATTTGAGGCATAGTAACGGGTAGGCCGCAGATCAAAGCGATGATTTAATTACACTTAGTTTAAGTACAGTTGCGGAATTCAAATTTCGGGCAGTATTTTTCTGTCACTTCAAAAAGTTCACTGTAAGCTACGTTTTACTGTCATCATGACATTCATGACTGACATTTGACAATTAAACTTTTCTGCTATTTTTAAGTTAAAATGACACAAACATGACAACAGTAAAAAATGAGGTTAATGTAAAGGTTGTTTTAGAGTTTACATTATGAAAATGACAATAGTGCCCGAAATTACCGTCATCATGACTGACATTTGACAATTAAACTTTTTTTTTGTTGTTAATTGAACAATTTGACTGTCTTACGAGATTTATTAGTTCAACAAGTGTAATTAGATCATCGCTTTGATCTGCTGCCTACTCGTTATTATGCCACAAATCACTATTTTTGAAAGTAAATAAGTCAAAATGACATAACCATGACAAGAGTAAAAACTGAGGTTATTAATGTAAAGGTTGTTTTAGAGTTTACATTATGAAAATGACAATACTGCTCGAAATTTTAATTCCGCAACTGTAAATTTAATTGTTAATTAACAATTTTAACAATAAAAAAAGTTTAATTGTGAAATCTCAGTTATGATGACAGTAAAGGGTAGTTTACAGTGAACTTTTTAAAGTGACAGAAAAATACTGCCCGAAATTGTACATATTTTTGATATGAAATTATAATAGCTGTCATTAATATGAAATTGTCATTCATTTTAACGTTAAAGCTTGAACTGTCAGTAAAGTGACGACCAAAGTATATTGTCTCCAACTGTACCACAGCTGTACTTATTTCTCTTTCATAGTGTATAAGCGATGATTATCTAATACAGATGGCGCTTTTTCCAAACAAACAAACGCCTTAAATCCCCCCTCAGCCCCCTCAATAACACAAACACAGTCAAAAAGTGGTGGAACGTGCTGATGTATGTAACCATATGATTTTTTGGTTTGAAATTCCCTGATTTGGCTTTTTATTTATTGAATCAGTGTAGTTAGAGGGCCGAGTATCGTATAAGAAATGTGCAAAATAGTTGTCCCAACTGGCATCACCAACCAAATTATATAAATACGTCGAATAATGAACGGATTTAGTACAGGCGAGGAAGATTCAAGAGGACCAACTGATCAAATCTGCTGTTTGATAGACAATAGTGAACGTTGTAACAAAATCGCCGGTAATGCTTCATACAGCAAGCGAATCCAGAAGACAGTGACACAAAGGAGGTTAAATTTGTGTATTGACAATTCAGTAAGTCCAAATTCAAATTCCAATCGAAAAATCACTGTTATTTCACCAGGCGAAACACATTTACATCTGCGACTTTCACAAGATGATCATCCAGTGTGCAAGGACCAAAAGACGGAGAAAGGACTCGGAAGATGACAGTAATGAGACCGATACTGATGTGCCAGAAGTCGATCTGTTTCAATTAGGAGTCAACACCTTGAGAAGGTACAAAAGGCATTACAAAGTTTCAGCACGACCTGGACTCAACAAGGCCCAACTAGCAGACGTAAGTCCTTTCGAAACTCAATTGTCTTACTCAAAATCCATTCACAGACTTTAATGAAACACTTTAAAACGATCCAAGTCAAGGAGAAGGAAGTTGTCACATTTTTTATATACACGGTGAAAACAAACAGCAATAAACTTGACCAAAAGAATGGTGTAAATAATGACGCAACTTGAAGTTACGTATTTTAAAAGTTTTATTAAGTTATTACATATAAGAAAAAAAGCATTTAATAAAAAAATAATTACTTTTTATTTTTCTCAGGTCCTAATATTACCACATCATCTTCCTCACTGTCTGTTAGAAGCTCAATTTGAACTGAAAAAAAAACGTGATTTTAGTTTCATTTAATAATCAAATACCTCTAGGTTTCTCTATTATTATCAAATCATCTTCACTATTATCAACGTCCCAAACTTCGTCTTTAGGGCGAGGGACATGTTCCACTGACGCTTTATCAATCACAACTACACTCTCAGGTCCTGATTGTGCTTTTTTATGTTTTTTATTCCTTTTATTTTTATTCTTATGCCACGTATCAAGCGTTCGTCCGAAAAGTACAGTTGTTTTGAAATTATCTTCAGTATGAAACCCGACAGGGGCCTTATTTCGCCTAAAATTCCCTTTGTAATTTCCCCAACATGTTGTTAATTATACCTTTGTTCATTATCGGCTTTTACTGAATTTTTAATTTCTTCTATCACAATAGTAGCCCGAGATGTCGCTTTAGAAACTGTACTTAGAATAACACTTGGTGCAAGTTCAGTTTTTCCCCCTAAATGTAGAGCACACAGTTCTTTAAATCCATTTAGGCCTATTGTTAGCATCGCATCAGCTGTACCTTCTTCGATTAGTACAGGATCAGCAAGAATATACTCCCTAAACAAGAAAATTGTCTTAATACATTTGTACGTATTATGCGTTTTACCCCCCGTTGAAAATTGCATATGTTATACAGACTGGATAGTGGTGTATAACGGTGGGGATGGGATCCCTCTGTTGGTAAGTATGAATGATAAATTCTTCACCATCGCAAGTAACATCAGGGCGTCTGAAATGAGACAGAGAAGCCAACATAGCGATTGAGGCACAGTCCAGAATATTCCCCTCGTGATTTAGCACATTAATATCAACTTTCAAAGCCCATACTTTTTCGTTTGTCTTAATACACAATGATTCCAAATCGATTGCTTTTGAATCTTTAACGCATTTCTCCAAAAGACGGTTTAACTGCACTGACAGTTCTGATTGTCTGCCAGCTTCGAAATGGGGAGCCGCCAATGGATTTAATTCCACATTTACATTCAGAATTCCTTCACTCGGTCTCGAAGATTTCGGCTGTTGAATCTCACAAGATGTTTGAGCTAAAACTCTAATCGTTTACTGAAGGGATTGTTCATAAGTGAAGGTTACTTTGTTTCGCCCAAGGAAACGTAACAGGAGCCCCAATGTTTCCCAAATTTCAGATTTAAGGGGCGAAATTCGTCGAAACTTCGGCCATCTAACCTCTACAAAAGATGGTTAACTTATAATAACAATATAATTACGTGGTTATTTACCCTCCATTCTGACAAACATTTCATTAGAAATTTTCTTTCGCAATTGGTCACTAATGTTTCCCGGACTTTCGACATGCTTATTTTCAAATTTCAAAATCAACAACAAGTGAGGTTAGAAGAGAATACATTGTGTCGGTAATGCAGATATGTTTGAAAAATTACAGAAAACTATATAGTAAACGTAATAATTTTTTCATTTTATTATTATTTTTATTCAACTTATGAGCTGATAGGAAGAAAAAATGCTTGACACGTTATTAAAAAGATAATACAAATTCAAATTAGATAAAAAAAATAATGTTTTTTGAAGTTTTAAAGAAAAAATCAAAAGATGTCACTGCTTTATGAGCCTTAACCGGAAATTGAGTCCGCCATTTTCTTCCTTTGTAAAACGTGTTCTGCTAGGCAGGTAGGTTAAGCACAAAAATCGTGTTTTGTGCCTAATTCTTATAAAATAGGCATAAACCAGTGTCACATTATTAAAATATTGATCTCCTAATATCGTATTCTTTGTAGATTTTGAAAAATGACGAATTCGAAAGGTTATCGTCGGGGAACTCGGGACCTCTTCTCTCGGAAGTTCCGCAAACATGGAGTTATTCCTCTCTCGACTTACATGAAAGTGTACAAAGTCGGAGATATTGTTGATATCAAAGGCAATGGGGCAGTACAGAAAGGCATGCCATACAAGGTTTACCATGGAAAAACCGGTCGTGTCTTCAATGTAACAGCTCACGCTTTGGGTGTGATTGTTAACAAGCGTGTTGGGGGCCGAATTATCCCCAAACGTATCAATATTCGTATCGAGCATGTGAACCACTCCAAGTGTAGACAAGACTTCTTGACCAGAGTGAAGCAAAACGAAAAGTTGCGAAAGGAAGCCAAGGAGAAGAACATCAAAGTTAACTTGAAGAGACAACCGGCCCAGCCAAGGCCTGCACACATCGTCAGTGGGAAAGTCCCAGCCGTTCAATTGGCTCCTATCCCCTACGAATTTATTGCTTAATTTGTACGCCTTTTGTGTAATAAAGACATAAAACAAAGTTGAGGTGTTCAATTTGAAATAAAACGAGTCATGTGCATTTTTTCAAATATATTTATATCTAACGAATATTTACAGAATAAAAATAAAATCTGCTTAGCAGCATTTATACAGTATTCTAGTTTCTCATATAATATTTAAAAGTTGTATAGTATTTGTTAACAAAATAAAGAAAGTGAATTTTACTTTTTTACCGTGTAGGGGACAATACTTTCTAAATTAGATGCACGGTTTTGTTACCATCTAAATATTATTGCTAATTGGAATAAATATAAAGTAAAAAACAAATTAAGTAAACAAGTAAAATTCACCATACAGTCAATTATTCCTATGCTGTTCCACCACAATAAAAGTAAAACTTGTTTGTCTTTAACATTGCAACAGAACAACAAAATTAACGTCGATTCTTCTGCAAAAGTACGGGTAAATCGCCTAAGAATTTGAAGAGAAAAGTACGGCCGGAAACTTTATAATATGTAATAAATAAAATATAAATCCAACAATTTTCAGTTTCAAATCATATTTACAGACTTTTTTCATTAACTTTACCAGTCCCAATGCAATGAGAGGTGACTTTGTACTTGAATTAAATCCTCTCAATGATTAAGGCAAGGAGCAGCAGAGTTCATAAACTCTCTCGTGACTGGTAAAAAAGGATGTAGCCTGTTTCTGAAGACTTTTGAGTATCAGACGTGAGGCCGTAGAAATCTTCTATTGTTGAAGCGTCTATTTTCTAATCAAAATCGTGATAATAAGCATGTGGGCGTAAAATTTTGGGGCAAACTTACGTCAACTTGGTCGTCGTCAAACAGCAGCCAAAAACCGTGACTTTTGACTATACTGATGTAGTGGCCTCTGTTAGGCCCGCTTCCACAATGTATCACAACAGCTACTAAATCGTATAATCGGTCGGGATTAACTGCATCGTCCGACTAAAAACACAAATTAATAAATTAAAAGAAACGATCACACAAGGCGACAAAAAAAAGTCATGTCGTGACAACCTGACAAATTTTATATCATTTTGTTTGTCTCAGTGAGACAAATCAAATGCACTAAAAAAAAATTTAAAAAGTCCACACACTTTGAACAAAATAATTTTTTTCTAATTTAAATGAATTTAAAATACTTTAACTTTAAAAAATCATTATTCAATAACTATTAGGCCAATTTCCTTCAAATAAAGAGCATTCTAAAGAGATGGCCTTGCCCTTTAGAATGAGGTAAAATTTGAAATTGAATATTAGCAAACTTTTCTTCGAACAGTGTTCGAAGAAGTTCGAAGTAATTTAAGAATAACCTTACGAGTAATTATTTTTTTCATCATTACCATCGTGTAGAGCATCTTTTTATTAGTTGTAATCCAAATTTTCAAAAAAATATACAGAGTAGTTTTCAAGATATGATTTTTTGAAGTTATTGCTAATCAAGCATTGCTCCTTATAGGAGAAATGCATGTTAATCTTACTTAAAATTGCATTTTTATAAAAGTATTTGTTTTAAGACTCTTCTTTTACTTAAAAATGGTCAATTGCACCTTCTTTGTTCTAATTAGAATAAACGAAAACTGTTTGTTTACTTAAAACAAATAAAGAGTACCAGCGTACTAATTAAAGCAAATAAAGAGTTTTTTGTTGTAAAAATGACCACTGATCATTAAGCAAAGAGGATCTAGAAGTTTAAGGCACCAGTAATATAAGGGCAAATCTTTGTCAAATCAAATCACTTTCCATTCAGATTTCGAGTTGTTCACTTTGTTCTAGCTTTCTGAACTTTTTTTGAAAATGTTCTGAGCAAATACTTTCTCATCACTTTCGAGTGATGTTAAATGCAAAAAGTCACCTGATTTATTTTGTTGGTATATTCTACGATTAGCTTCAGTTAGGTAGTAGTTGTTGTGATAACAGTTGCACACGAAGCAACTGACTTATTGCATTCAACATCAGTAGAAAGTGATGAGAAAGCATTTGCTGAGAACATTTTCAAAAAAAAAGTTCAGAAAGCTAGAACAAAGTGAACAATTTAGAATCGGAATGGAAAGTCATTTAATTTGAAAAAGATTTGTTCTTATATTTAAAGCTTCTGCTTTAAACTTCTAGATCCTTTTTGCTCAATGATCAGTGATCATTTTTAGAACAAAAAAACTCTTTATTTGCTTTAATTAGTACGCAGGTACTCTTTGTTTGTTTTAAGTAAAGAAACAGTTTTTGTTTATTCTAATTAGAACAAAGAAGGTCCAGTGACCATTTTTAAGCAAAAGAAGAGCCTTAAAACAAATACTTTTATAAAAATGCAATTTTAAGTAAGATTAACATGCATTTCTCCTATATGGCGCAATACCTGAATAGCAAACCTTAACTTCAAAAAATCATATCTTGAAAACTACTCGGTATATTATTTTAAGAATTTGGATTCTTACTAATAAAAAGATGCTCGACACGATGGTGACGAAGAAAAAAAAATACTCGTAAGGTTTTTCTTAGATTACTTCGATTTACTTCGAACTTCTTCGAACACTGTTCGAAGAAAAGTTTGCCAATATTTAATTTCAAATTGCACATCATTCTAAAGGGCAAGTCCATCCCTTTAGAATGGTCTTTATTTGAAGGAAATCGGCCTAATAGTTATTGAGTAACGATTTTTAAAAATTAAAGTATTTTAAATTCATTGAAATTAGAAAAAAATTATTTAGTTCAAAGTGTGTGGACTTTTTGAAATTTTTTCTAGTGCATTTGATTTGTCTTACTGAGACGAACAAAATGATATAAAATTTGACAAGTTGTCACATGACTTTTTTTTTGTCGCCTTGCGTTATTTTGCTTACTGTATTGAAAAGTCGCAGTTCTAGAGGAAACACAACTCGGTGTGAGACCTTAATGTGCCTGTTGTACTGCTCCATGTACTTGAACCTCTTCAGATGCAATGCAAGAATCATCGGCAGTTTCTTCACCCTCATTCGTTTTTGGGCTTCCTGGTAACTACTGCAGTTATCACACTTAAATTTATTATCGCTACACAGTGTCTCTGTATTACTAAAACACCTCAAACAATGAGTTATACTAGTGTTCTGTTCGATGTCCACTTGTAAATCAAAAAAGTCTTCATCTTTACTGCTCACATTTTCACAATTCAAACACCTAGTTTCACTCGTCAATATACCCTAAATGGAAATCAAAATTTGCTTAATTCGCTCAATGATTCGAAAAATTTACCTGAAAAATCTCATGCACCCAAGTGGGTTCAGGAGTTGTATGTGCAGTTCCATTCTCTCCCGTTGCTTTTGATTTAATGTTGTTTGTGGTTGAGTTTTGTTGTCTTTCAGCTGAAAAACACCTTTAAGTAACGTGAACATGATTATAACACGACGTACCCAGAATTATTTCACTAATGTGATTGATTAAAAAATTTAAAAATTCATGTGCATCCTGTTGCATGTAGTTATCAAACTCCTCTACAAAAAGAAATCAAATCATTCGTTTCTAAAAAAATAAACAAACCTTTTTCTTTTCGTAGCCTTGCTATAAATTTTTTTGGTGCAATAGAGCCTACTTTCTTTTTTTGCGTAGCAATGCTGTGGAACAAATCTGCAAGACATGTAAGCAAAGTTTCTTTTGTCCTTTTATTTTTCGCTTTGTACTCTAAAACTCTATCTCTAAAGGGTTTGCAGAAGTATAGAGCTTGAAGAACCGAATTACTATAACAAGTATTACCGAACTGCAACAACACGAGACATTCAATGTGAAAACACCCTTTCTCAACAACTCACATTTACTAAACCAAAATAATGTTCATTGGAAGGAAACTGTTCAGAGCCGATATCTCGTTCCAGTTGGGATATATTCGCACCCTACAAATTGATTAAAACACAATTAACTTAATAAAATAATTAATTATGACATAGTGACATTATTAAATTGTGGTTAGTTCATGTTTGACTCGAAAATTGGACTCGGTTTGCGGTAACCTCTTTCAGGGGCTTTACACTCACCATATTTTAACAACTAATCCATCACGTTTATGTTAAAAACGTCCAAAAACAATACTTTTAAATCACAAAACTTCCCCATTATTGCATTTTGACAGCTGTAAAACAACCCATGATAACAGAAAAGTGACAGGCGACATGCCGACAAACCGCACAACACCAAAATTCCCTAACCGTTGGAAGAAAAAGGATAACACAAGGACAAAAATCGATTATGATGATGCAGTCCAATTATTTATTTAATGAATCAAATAATTTAATTGATTTTGGTGCAATTGACTGTCTTCACGACCACTCCACCAAACTCTTCGCTGGCCACACAAAACGGGAATGATTCCATTCCGTTACAAGCAGCCCCAAATTCCCCCTTGTTTGTGCTAACTAAAACAGCCCCAAAAAAGTCCGGGTATTTTGCTGTAATTCTATCAATTGCAATCTGGGCTGCTTTCGTAGGTGATGCGCCTCGTCTCATCTCCTCTACGGCCAAAAAACTATCAATAAAACGATAAAGTACCTGAAATTATAATATTTTACCTGGGTGAAAATCTCATCATTACGTCGCCATCACCTGTCGCAACGGCTGCACCAACTGTGCTGTCCGCATAAGCGCCGGCTCCAGGTATCGGGGAATCCCCGACGCGTCTATAAAAAATAATTTAATCGACCTGAGAATGTTAAATTAAGTACCCTGGAATTTTGTGATTGGCCCCATTCGTTGAAGTCCCCGCTGCAACGTTCCCACGCTCATCTATGGCAATCATCCCAATTGTGTCATGGTTATCAGAGTTGAAAATTTTCCATGAGTCTTTGAGAACTTCGTTTGAATCGGATGCTTCATAAGGGCCACATGTTTTGGTTGGATCAGGGTCCACATTCTGTTTAAAACATAATGAACATTTTTAACAAAAAAAATACAAAACTTTTCACCTGCCAAAAGTTGGGCTGACAATTTTTGGACTTCCACTCTTTCCACAAATTTGTGGAGTAATTCGTGGATAAATTTTCTTCATGCAGTTCGAAATTTTTGGCAAACTCTGTCGCTAAATCACCTACGAGAAATGAATGTTTTGTATGTTGTAACACCATTTTTGCAGCGAGTGCCGCGTCTTTGATTCTTCTCAAGCCCCCCACTGCTCCCATATTCATTGCAGTACTGTGAAATTACACTTAGTTTATAAATTTTCTGCAAACAACACCAACCCATCAAATATCATGGCGTCAAGGGTAGTTTCCCCATTTTCGTCAGGACTTCCCCCATATCCAACACTATGGTCACACTGGAGTCCTTCGCAAGTGGAACATCCCGTCACTACAGCATCTATAGCGTCCGAATCCGCGTCTTTCAAAGTTAAAAATGCTAAAGCCAAAAATATGAGCAATACATCAAAAAATAATAAGAAATTTTACCATTTACAGCAGCTTGACTGAACCGCCAAGTATTCATAACAACAGGAACCGAAGCATAAGTGTAATTGAAGAAAATTAAGTACACAATTAGATGAATAAACGGTTTCAAACTCATATTTAGTCAATCCTCTGGAACTAGAAATATTTGTCAAAATAATTATAATGCCATAGAATCTTCCCTCCAGATAGCACCGATTTTGCTTTTCAGTTTTTATCAAACAAAACATCAATACATTCAAATTAAATTTTTAATTTAAAAAATAGATATACCCGATTTCATAATAATTTGTTCATCTTACCAGCAGGTGACTGCTGTATTTAATTATTGGTTCTAAATAAAATTTTAATAAATTTGTGATAATTTCATTTCATTTAGAATGTAATTCAAATTCAGTAAAATGATTTTATCACAGCCTCTCTTTTTGAACTTTGCTCAAGGTCAAACCAGATGGACAGATTATTTTGAAACCAACTATACACATGTATTTTCATTCAAGAAACTTTAAAATTAAAGTAATGATTACTTTTTGATGCTTTGTAAGTTTCTATTTTAAATTTAGTTTTTGTTGATGATAAGTAACATAACCTTTACATCATCATAATTGTAATTTTAAATATTCACATAATAATAAAATGTTACCTAACCTAAAAAATACTAAATCGAAGTGAGAAAACATCTCGTGCAACAAAAGTAGTCTGTTTTAATTATTCAAGTACCTTCAAATACAATACTATTATGCCTTCCAGGTGATTCTAAATAAAATGAAAATTATTTTTTCTTATATTCTTGTTTCTAAAGGTGATGGATTTTGCTTTTCACAATGACCACAAAAGCAAGAAAAGATGATGATTATTATTCGATACTTAACTGCAACCGGTCAGCAACGTATGAAGAATTGAAACAAAGCTATCAAGAGCTGATAAGAAAATATCATCCCGATAAAAGTGGCGGTTCCCAAGAAGATTTCCTCAGTATTGATAAGGCATGGAAAACTTTGAGAAGTGTGGATTCAAGAGCTAAATACGACAGGTACTTAGACTCAGAGACAGATTATGAAAACAGTCATTTAGTGCATGTAGAGTTGAGTAAAAGCCAAATAAGTTTCAATCATGATAACACCACAAACTACCCATGCAGGTGTGGGGGCACATTTGTGATACACAAGGAATACCTTGATGAAGAAGAGTGTCTTATAGAATGCAATGACTGTTCCAATTATTTACTTTTAAAGTGAAACAAATCAGATTGTTATAATAATACTTAATGCATTTTATTTTTTACATTACAGTAAAATACAGGTGCGTTTTTATTTTTTCGTTAAGTTTTCCACCATCTGTTTGAAGATCACAGCCCCTTTCCCATTCGCTTCCTCGTATCCAGGGGCTGCAGCTTTGGCTCTTGCCAACCAATTGACCACATTTTTATACGGTGAAAGGTCAAAATTCACGGCTTCGAATGTTGTAACTGTTGCAAGAAGCGACAAATCGGCCAAAGTGAGTTGATTTCCCGCAGCGAAGTCTTGACCTTCGAGAAATATCTCCAGGAACTTGAAAGCATCTTTGATTTTTTCCATTTTGGCGGGCTCGTATTCTGCACCCCCAAAAATCACCGGGTACTGCAATGAAAAATTATTGAAAAAGTTGTCGTTATTTACAGGGTGATTTGTGAATAGACCAAAAAAGAAAAATGCCAAGTAAGATATCAGGAATATTGAAAAAAAAGCATTTAAAAAATTCTATCTGTCAAAAAAATTTGACATTTGACATTTTTTTCATAATTATTGAGTAAAGGTACAAAAACTTTGTCAATAAAAGCCACAAATAACATTAACCAGCTTCCTTGTTTTCTCTTCTAACAGTCAACAATTTTTTTACACAAAATGCAAAATTTAAACTCTCACAACTAAATTTTTTTAGATAAAATTTTTTCATGTTCTTGGTATCTTATTATTTTTTTTTTGGCCTATTTACAAAACACCTGTATAACTAACAGCATACATAATAGTCCGCAAATCTAGCATATAAAGTCCCAATATCGAAGTACAATCTCTGATCCACCAGAGCGCGTTTTTTGGGGTCTTTTGGGTACAGCGAGTCGTTTTTGCCATACTGGTCGGCCAGGTATGTCATTATGGCGCGACTTTCCCAAAGGGCAAACCCATTGTCGACCATGGTTGGAATCGTATGTTGGGGATTAATCTGTAAAGAAATATGTGCATAAATTTCCATCACGCTCATGTGAATATTTTTGTTTGAATCAATAGTTTTGGAAGAATGAGCACACTAAATCAAAACTGAATCAATAAAAAAACTCGGCATTGTTGTACACTGGAAGACACGGAATTTTGGACGATTTGTCATATGACTGACATAAAAGTGTAAAACGGGCCTTAGTCAACTAACCTCACTTTCGGTTAATTTTTACCCTGAAGCTAGAGAAAAAATGACAACAAATCAAAATAATTTATTGAATTTATATAAAAACACGTATTGCTGGCATTTATTGTTTCGGAAAAATAAATTTCAACTAAAACTTTCTATTTTTAGTTCCATAATGACAATAAAGCGTGGTTCACATTGACATTTTTTATTTTTTGAACTGACATAAATCTGATGTCCAAAATTCCGTGTCCGCCACTGTAGGAAAAAGCTTACCTTAATAAATTCAGGCGTAAGATGTTCGCCTTTCATGAGATCTGTGAGCTTTAAATTAAGCTCCACGCCAACGGCCTTAGCCGCCAAAAGAACGGCTCTGCATGGGGCACTTCCAGGAAGATAATACAAATCGATGGGCATTTTGATCTGAAAATTTTTAATTTTGAGTAAATATTAACAAAATCAAGTTCTTAATTGCTAATTTTATTTTTAACTCATTGGTTATTTTTCCTTCCTTTTATCTAAATTAATGTTAAGCTCATATTATTAAATACTTTGATGTATAGTGAATTTCATCTTCACCTGTCTACTCTATAATGTAATTTCGTGACCTTGATGGTATTATTTTTGCCTCCGCAAAACATGAAATGTCAACCTCACTCTTTGACAGAAGAAGCCAACCTCACACCCGTGTAAAAATTAATTTAACCATCTCTCTCGCGCAATAGCAATTGTTTTTTTTTCTGTTGGAAAATTAAAAGCACTAAAAGTAGAAAACGGCAAAAGGTAGAGATTAGTGAAAGTAAAAAACAAAAATTCAATCATAATTCTATAAAGTAGTAGAATTTTATAGAGAAAAAGGGCTAAAAGTGCATAAATTTTAAGTTTAAAAAAACCTTAACCACAGATTCCTTAACCAAGAGTGCGTTGGATTTCAATCATTCAATCTGACAGTTGGTGACATTTCGCCTAAATGTGGCTCACACTCTTCAAAAAAATCAAACGAAAACGATAGAAAAACGAGAGTATAAGTTACTGGTGATTTGAAAAAGGCAAAAGGGTGACGTAAATAATCTTTGTGCAAAGACCGGTGTATTTTTATTTTTTTAATTTTGTTTTTTTTGTAAAGTGCGAGTTGCACTTTGCTGTTGTCTCTATAAAATACCGTCTCAAAAGAATTTTTTCAGCACATATCCTGAATTTACAGAGGCCTAAAAATTATTTCAGTGTTTTGAAAAAAATCTAAATCTCGCGTGGGACGTATAACAACATAAGGTCTATTTTTCTATTAAGGAAAATCTAAAAATTGAGGTTAGGGAAGTTTCCAAGTCAGACGTTTCCAAAATAATATATGCCAACAAATATTCCTACAAAGTACAGTTGTAAATGGATAAAACATTCCCAACTTTATTCTGGATAATGAACAAAAGTGGGAAAGTGGGAAATTTTCAAATCTTGGTAATACCGCCAAATTTAAAAACGACATTTTTTACGGAAATCGACATGAGTAACGTGTAAACCGCAATGGGGAAACGCAAACATGAATTACGAGTCACGACTATGGAAAATTACATTTACAACTACTTTGAAATGTAAAAGTAATCAAATTATCGGATACTCATAAATGTAAAATTGAATTACTCAATAAAGTATTAAAGTATTACACCGAAACATACCGTTAACAATTTATATCTGAACTAAATAGATAATAATGTTTTATTATAAGGAAATGGAAATATGTATATGTAATATGTACTTGTATTCTCTGAATGATAAGAGTCAATTCAAGTTGTATTTTTTTATAATGTTTAATAGCATTATTAAAAATATTTAAATTTATACAGAAATGTGCAATTTATTGAGTTTAATAAAGTCTATTTGAATTAATAACATGATTTTTAACCATAACCCATTTTTCAAAAATGCTGAAACGTGGTCAAAAAAGTTTGGGAATCAGAGAAACACTTCAATATGCATAATTATAAAAAAGTGATATTTTGCAGTGTTATTTTTCACGATTTTTTTGTCAAATTGTGAAAACAAATCACTCTTCCTATTCTGAAAAAATATTGTATATAAAAATATTATACAGTGCGATCAAAAAGTCTGTCTATCAAGCAAGCGTAGAAATTTAAAACGTATGTCTGTGGAAGATAAAATGTCACAATGACAAATGAGAAATGTCAAAGTAATCTTTATGTAAATTATGACAGGAAACCGTGGTGAACGATTTTTATGAATAAATACCAACGATATCTTATTTTAGTTTGTTTTGAGACGTTTCATAGAATAATTGAATTTAATTAACTCAATATTTTAATTTTTATAAAATATATTTTTTTTTCATCTAGATAACATACGTCCTCGACTAGGACGCCTACTTGATTTGATAGAAAGACTTTTTGATCACACTGTATAATGAGCCATTTCAACACCAATTCGGGTGCTGAAATAGACTAGTACAATTTACTTTCTAGAGGTTGGTAATGATGATTTTCAGCGGCGTTTTGAGCGATTTCAGGTGGTGTGCATAAAATATTTGCAGTATTCATTGTTAATGCAACAAAATTTTGAGACTTGGTACTTCAAAAATCGAATTTTTCAAACTTTGTGACATTTATTACCAACCACTATCTTATTAGGGCAAAAGTTACTATATTTTGAAAGAACGACTTTTATGTTATAAAATGTATAAAAAGCTCGTTTCATAAGTCATGTGGGGGGACCCATTCTTTATAAAACTCGCGAGTAGCGCAAAATTGAAAAAAATGTATAAAAAAAACTTGTTTCATGAGTCATGTGGGGAAACTCATTCTTTATGAAACTCGCGATTCGCTGCACGTTTCATAACATACTATTTTTGCTCAATAACATAAACTAACATGTACGTATCAAAATATTTATATTCACTGTCATCAAAAACTGATAAAAGTTTGTTAAAAATGTAAAAATTTTACCTTGAAAACGAAAATACAACTTGCAATACTTATTTAAACAAAAGTAATTAAAAAAGTAAATATTTACAAAAACAGAGTGCTCATTTAGCAGTTCTTTGAAATCCAAAGATAAGGCCGGTTTTTTACGGAAAAGAAATGTGTGTATTCCCCTTCCCATCTATTGTTGACCGCATCTGTAACCTTATCGCGTTGGTTTTTTGGTTAGACCAAGGACATACATACAAATTAAATTGGTTAAGCGTGCAGGAACTAAACCTTGGTTTTAGATTTTTTCCACGTTAACATATAATTAAAAAAATACTTTGTGAGAGATACCTATTTTAGTCTTAAATAGTGGAGAATTTTGTTTAAAAATCAATAAAATAGTCGTCAAAGACTGCAAACATTTACTTCCCAAACGTTAAGTTTATTTTAATTCATTACAGCAAATAAAGCTATTTTTAAATGTGAAAGCAAGGCTTTATTTTAGCAAATTTATATTCTTAGAAATTGGTTACATTACAGTGATATACTTTACCAACAAATGAAAACTTTGAAACACTTATAGAAAATTTGTGCGGCAAGAAACACCAAACGACTGACTTCGTCAAAGTGCAACCGTGGACTGGTTGTTATTATGTTTTTGTTGGCAGGTTGGTACCGCTGGCATCTATTCATTCATTCCAGAGTATTCAAGAGAGACAAGGGTAAGATATCTTACCTTTTCTCTGGCATTCAACACTCAGTTTCCTCTCACCACTTATTAGATTATGCCTTTCTATTCTAACTTTGTAATGATTATTTCAGAAAATTTTGCCTAATTATTTTATAAAGTAATTATGCTGATTGTTTCTCCACCCTTCACATGCATCCCAATTAATATTTTACTGTTCCATTTTCATGAGTAATATTGGGGATACAAGGACACTTTTATTTTATTTATTTACAAATGATTAAAATATTAAAAAGCTAAAATATTTGTTCACTGACGATAACTTCATGTGTTCATTTTTTGAGTCGATCTGCAGCATTTCATTCTTGGTTTTTTATTAACAACAAAGAATATTAACTATTTATAACTAAAGGTTTTAAGTGGGACATTCTGTGTATGTAAGCTTATAGAAATTGATTTCCGGAACACTTCATATTATGATGTGAATAAAATCAATTAAAATAAGAGTTAAGAGTGGGTAATGAAATGACAAATATTTAGGTATTTAGTCAAGGACGTTGCAACGCATTCATTAGCCGTAATATTGATTGATTTAGTTCAAGGGTGTTACAGATCAGTAAATTTATAAATGACATTATGTAGCTACTATTAAGGCCCCTTTAGAACATTTTGTTTTTTTTAAGATTTCCTCCTGTTTTTAAAGGTATATTTAAATTGCAAAGGCATATTTTGACGTGTCAAACCTGTGTTGCCAGGTCTGGTGATTTTTATACTAGTTGATTTGGCGAAAATTTTTGTAAAAATTCTAATTTCTGATGATTTTTTAGAAACATCATTGTAGTTCCAGCAGAAAGTTAATGTATTTTGAAATACTTTTTTTAAATTGTGTATTCGCCCAATTAATAAAATTAACTTTTTTTTAATTTGATTTTTTAAATTATATATACAGGATGCGCCAGAACTCTCGTCCCAGAGAAAAAATTCAAGTAAGATAAGATACCAGGAACATGAAAAAAATGAAAATAATTCTATCTGTCAAAAAATTTTGACATTTATTTTTTGACATTCGACACTTTTTTATGTCTATTTATTGATACTGATGATCTTGTATATGTTTTTTTTACGATTATTTAATAAAAGTACAAAAATTTTGCCAATAAAAGCCACAGATAAGATTATACAGATATACAATTTAGGATACAGTTTCCTTGTTTCCTCTTTTAATAGCCTGTAGCTAAAAAACTTGTAAATTATTTTTCCAGTAGAAATAAATAGAGTCAAAGTGCAAAATTTAAACTCCCATAACTTCGAAATTTTCATAGATAAAATTTTTTTAACATTTTTTCCATGTTCCTGGTATCTCACCTTATATGGTATTTTTCTCTGGTGCACCCTGTATAGTAAATTCGGTCAAAAATGATGACACAATATTTTTTTTTGTATTTTTTGAGCATTTTGCACGTTTTTTAGCCTTGCAGAGACTCAAATGCTAAATTTTCTCAAAAACAAGTTGAAAAATCGAGAGATTGTTTTGTTTTTCTAAAAGATATTTTACTCAACAAAGTAAAAAAAAGTCGCAAAAAATGGGGAAAAAAGTAGATCATTTTGTCTATTTCTGATCATTTTAGTATGTTTTTAGCCAGAAACAGAACTATTTCGTAAAACAAACCGAAAATTAATTAAATTATACCAAAACTAGTGTTATTTTTGCATTTTTAGAGTGTGTTTTGGCACGTTTTTCAAATACATTCAAATTTTTGCTAAAACTGACTGAAAAATTACCAAATTATATTGAAATTGATATTATTTTAGCGAGTCTCACTCGATGTAGTTTGTTTTTGTACAGAGACTCATTTAATTTGCAGGATATTGTCAAAACATGCTTAAATACAACAAAAATACGTCTAAATTGATGTTATTTCGTTTGTTTCGTTCGATTTAGTTCTTATTGAGTGAAATTTTCTCAAAAAAATAGGACGAAAAACACAAAATATGGTCGAAATATTTAAATTATTACAAGTACCTAAAATACAATTTTTTAATTAATGAAAATTTTCTTAAGACCGTGGGCCAAAAAAAGAAAAAAAATACATTTTTTTTCTCACGCCATTTAATAAAAACAGGACTTTATTAGAATAAATAAATAAAATTGTAAATACAAACACTTATTTCTTAGGATTACGAAGTAACCATAGGTCAGAAAATTTATTGCCAAAAGATTTCAAGACTTGAAACTTGAAGCTTTAAAATGGATTTTTTTAATCTACGACTATTTTTCATTGAGGTGCAATATTTCAAGTCATGAAAAAATTTAAGAAATTTTTTTGTTCTATAATTTTTTGGAATATGTAGCAAAAGGTTTACGTAAAATGTTTTGTCGTTTTAGAGTTTTTAAGATAATTAGAAATATTTTTTCAAGGAAATGCCTTGAAATTCCAGCACAGTCTCAAGAGCCAAAGACGAATATTTTAACTTTTTTAACTTTAAAAACAGGAGAAAGTCTTTAATAATGCTTACTTTTTCAAACTTCTCTAAAAACAGGGCAGAATTCTTGAAATATTTGCTTTTTGTATATAGGTGCCTTTAAAACAAGTCAAAACACTTAAAAAAGTGTGCTGAGGGGGCCATTTGCTTTTTAAATATACCTTTAAAAATAGGGGAAAATCTTTGAAAATGTCACTTTTTTGAATAGACCTTAAAAACAGGGCAAAATTCTTAAAAAAAACTCAATACTCAGTTTTAAATTGTATTTTTAAAACTAGTAAATAAACAGTATTTAGTGAGATAATATAAATTATTTTAATTTACTTTTAAATATGCTCCCGAACCCATTGGCACCTGCTTGGTTAATTTCTTCGTATCCATAGGCCGACATTGCATTTTTGGCTCTTTGGTACCAAGCGAAAACATTTGGATATTTCGAAATTTTGAAGCCCACAGCCTATGTTTTTAGAAATTAATAAATAAAAGAAACTCAATGAAGCATCTAGAGATACCTCTGCTGTTGCAATAACTGTAATTATTGCAAAATCAGCAATTGTTAAATTATCTCCAGCGACCCAAGTCTGATTATTATCTAAAAAACCATCCAATAAACTCAACAGTTCTTCAAATTTTGTGGCTTTATTGGGGTCTGGTTCTTCATTATTAAAGATGACGGGCACCTGTAAAGGAAAAATTACCAACTTTTTGTGAAATCATGACCAGCGTAAGAATTACAGTAATCAAATCGTCAACATAGCAAAATATGATTTTAAAATTCACTCTAAAATCTCTATATACTCGTTTTCACGTTAATGTGAATCGAAGTAGTCGTTGAAAGAGATCATTTTGAGGTGGCAACCATGCAAAAATTCAAACAATCCTATCCTCAACCTTTCCCAAAAAATATTTTTCAAAAAAATGTGTACCCCAGGTAGCAAAAAAATAATTAAAATTAACAACGTAATTAACATACAGGGTTATTCATAAGTATAAAGCAATATTTGAACCTCAAAAATGACCTATAAAATGATGTTAATTTAAATAATAACTCGTGTCCTATCTCTACTGATAAGAATTTTACAGCCCTCGGAATGTGGGTATGCAAATTTGATTTTTTTGTAATAACTTTGGAACTATTTGACCAAATATTATAAAATTTGGAACATTTTCCTGTGACAACATACCCTTTAAACTGGTAATCACGAAAACCGGATACATCCATTCAATTTCCGGTTCCAGCAGTTGTAGGTCACATTTTCTGTGTTTTTCCATTTTTTTGCTCTCTTAACACCAATTTTTTATTGCCCAAATCGATAGAGTAATCAATTTCGAATAAAAAACGCATAACCTTTAATACCCCTAAAATGAACCGTTTCGAAGATATTTTAATTTAAAGTGAGGACTGCACAACGCTGAAATCAAAAAATAGGGATTTTGAATAAATGGTATCCACGGCAACCAATGACCATGGTCACATAAATCCCTGCCAGGCATCTGTTAACTTTGACAATAAATTTTTGTGAATTTTTTATGAATTAAATGCTACGAGATCCATTTGGATTTATTCTAAGTTATGTTTGGAATCTGAGGTAAACTCTTTCATTAAATATTTTCGATTAATTGTCTAATAATCGTCCAATGTCAAAGTTGACAGATGCCTGACAGCGATTAGTGAGGCCGTGGTCATTTGTTACCGTGGATACCACTTATTCAAAATCCCTACTTTTTGGTTTCAGCGTTGTGCAGTCCTCAGTTTAAGTTAAAATATCTTTGAAACGGTCCATTTTAGGGGTATTAAAGGTTATGAGTTTTTTAATCGAAATTGATTACTCTATCGATTTGGGCAATAAAAAATTGGTGTTAAGAGAGCAAAAAAATGGAAAAACACAGAAAATGTGACCTGCAACTGCTGGAACCGGAAATTGAGTGGATGTATCCGGTTTTCGTGATTACCAGTTTAAAGGTTATGTTGTCACAGGAAATGTTCCAAATTTTATAATATTTGGTCAAATAGTTCCAAAGTTATTACAAAATAATCAAATTTGCATGCCCACATTCCGAGGGCTGTAAAATTCTTATCAGTAGAGATAGGACACGAGTTATTATTTAAATTAACATCATTTTATAGGTCATTTTTGAGGTTCAAATATTGCTTCATATTTATGAATAACCATGTATAAAGATTTTTTGTCATTATTAATGTGATTATGACACTTTTTGTGTGAATCGGCTTTTAAATTAAAGATGCATTTAGACTTCTACAACCTACTTGATGAACACTAATATGAAAAAGAGTATACTTTTACTTTTTAATAACATTCTAATAAAAGCAGCTTGTACATATAACAGCAAAAATAGTTTATTTTCTTTTCTCTCCCTTTATAATAAAAAGCATACATACGCAGTAATCCAGCAATTTAGGAAACAAAGTGGTGGCATTGAAATGCAAACGTTGATTCACAATGGCTCCCTTTTTGGGGTCTTTCGGATAAAGACTATCATCTTTTGCATATTGCTCAACCAGATATTTCATTATAACATGACTATAAGTTTGTAAAATGGTATTTCAAGATGTAAAATTGATAAGAAACCCACCTATCCCACAAAATAAAACCTCCGTCATTTATTGTAGGAACAGTATGCATGGGATTCATCTGAAAATTCAATTTTTTTAAATTAAAGAAAATGAAAGAAAATGTTGTTATTGACTGATATTGATCTAAAATGAAATGATTACAACACCTTTAAAAATTCAGGATTCATTTGTTCTCCAGCCATTATATTTACAATTTTCACATTATGTTTAATTCCAAGTGCTTTAATTAGCATTAAGGCTGCTCTCGACGGGGGACTTAACGGATAATAATAAACATCAATTGTATGATTGATTGTGTTTGGATCAAATGTACTAAAATTAAATATGAAAAAAGTGAGTTAAACTAGATATAATAACTTACGAATTATTAACATGAATGACACTTTCATCTGCTATACAATTCCCCATGACGAAATTAAAATTATTGAATTGAATCTGTTTGCGTTGCTTTGCTGTGTGATCACTGAACATTTCTTCATTAATTCTTCATCACAGTAATGTTACTATAGTAACTTTCATCAAAACAAGCTTGCTAATCAGCTGCATACAATGAAATTATTATTTGTTGACACTGTATATTTCATTATTGATTTGTTAATACACTTTTTAAAGATCTATTAACTGATACCACTACCAGCTATTACTTCAAATTTTCATTAAAATTATTTTTGAATTGTGATACTATCTAAAAAAGCATTGAAATGTATAATCGTTTTCATATTAATGTGCATCGAAATAGTATCATTTTAAGGTGGCAACCATGCGAAAATCCAAACAATCCCAACCTCAATCTTCCCTAAAAATTATTTTCTCAAATAAATACGAGTTCCTCAGTTTTTAAGGTAGCAAAAGAAAATTAATAATGTAATTAACATAGGGTGGCCCATTCTGAATGATAATAATGACACTTTTTGTGTGAATCGGGCTCCTGAGCCGTAACCACGATTTTATTTCGGGGGGGGTTTCTTGTTAATCCATGAAAATGAAATGAAAGAAGGGGGATTAAAAAGCAAAAATCTCTAAGTACACGTTTTTATTTTAAATTGAAATAAGAGATTCTAATTAAACATAAAAAAATACAAATTAACTCACAAAAGTGACAAAAAATAAAATAATTTTTTAATACTTTTTATTGTTACAAATTTAAACAGGCGATAGAATATTTATTTTTAAAACAAAATTTTTTTATGATTTATTATAATTATATAATTATAAATTATTATGATTTAGATTTTATATTTTAATACAGATGATAACTTTTATACACCTAAACAAGTACAAAAATAAAATGTTGAAATTTTTAATAGGGGCTTCGTAAACTAGATGATTAGGGTAAAACTTTACTCTAACTATGTTGAATGTGGTTTTTTGCCACTTTCAGCAACAAAATTTCATAGTTTTTCATAAAAAAAGGTCTTTTGTGTTTTTCCGATACAATTTACGGATTTTTAGTAAAAATCGGTTTAATAATTTATGTTACAGACCATAAAAATTAAAAATTAAATTTGTTTTACCGTTTAGGACGCCCCTGATTAAAAATTTTGTTATTTGGCATTTATTTAGGTACCAAATTTTGTAATTTTATCGATTCTGAAATATTAGGAAAAACCCTTTAAAAAACCGTTTTTAGGGGGTGTAGCTCCCTTTCATAGCATTTTTCGAAACACTTTTGTCTTAAAATTAAATATTCTATCAACTATTTAAATGAAAATGAAACACTGTATAATTAACACATGAAAAAATAATTCACAAAAATTTAAAATAAACTCACTAAAATAACAAAAAAACTAAATTTTTAACACTTATGACATTATATAACAAAGTGCTCAGCATTTCGGGGGGGGGGAGGGGTTGAACCCCTTAATCCCCCCTTGGGTACGGCCCTGATCGGGCTTTATTATTAATTAAAGAGGCATTTAGACTTATACAACTTACTTGATGCAGATTAATATGAAAAAAAGTATAGAGAATTGAGTTAGTATTAAAAAACGAGTTTTTTAAATAAACAATCGTAAGGGTGTCTTGTTTTGTGTTCATAATATTTAGAATTATTTTTTGGTAATTTCTAAAATTTGAATGATTTTGGGTTATGCAACCAACAATACGAAAACATTGATCATGCGCAGTAGAAATGTGTACGCAATTGTTCCTCCTGTCATTAGTGTCATTATTCTGTCATTTTTTTTCTCCTTGGTAAAATTGCCAAAAAGGTGTTTGAAACATGTCGAATTTTGGGGACGCATTTGATCAAGCAGAGGTGGACCCCGCAGCGGAGTTCTTGGCCCGAGAGCAGGACGATTTAGCGGGCCTAGAAGATGAAGTAAAACCAGCTGCTATTTCAGCACCGGTTGTTAACGGTGGTAAGCTGATTAATTCATGTCATCATCCTTTCAGGGGCGTATCATTTTTTGTTACAATGCTTGATACCATTCAATTCTTTGCATGTTTTATCTTTTCTTGGTGTTTTTTAAGTTTATCGCTTATCTATAGATGATCCAACCAATTCTGCGAGCAGTTTTGAAATGGTCGAAGGTTTTGAAGAGGGAACGTCAAATAAAAGAGAAGAATTCGATGGTATGTTTGAATAAAAACAGTAACAGAATTAGAACTTGTAGGCGAAAATTAGGGCGCCTATTCATTCATTAGAAAAAAAAAACAGTGTGTAGTTTTGTACATTTCTAATTTCACTTCAAGTTTTTGTTATTAATTTATCTATTTTATTTAATTAAATCGTTATATTATTATTTTTTTTAGAAAATATGAAGAAACTAAGGAACAACCATTTATTAAACTATTTTACTGTCATAATTTACATAAAAATTATTTTGACATTTCTCATCGTCATCAAGTAGGTTGTAGAAGTCTAAATGCATCTTTAACTTAAAGGCCAATTCACACAAAAAGTGTCAATAATGTCATTCAGAACAAATTTAATCACATTAATAATGACAAAAAATTTTATGTTTGCCACCCCACGTTAATTAACTTGTTAATTTTAATTATATTTTGCTACTTGGGGTATACAAAAAATTATTTTTAGCCAAGATTGAGCTTAGGATTGTTTGAATTTTTGCAAAATAAACGAATCTAGACACACATTCTAAGTTTCTACGCTTGCTTGATTGAAAGACTGATCTTGCTGTGGTAGAATGTGCAAATAATTAACTATTGTCACACAGAAAAAAATTAATTTTAACATTTTGAAAGCACAAATCGTTGTTTTATGTCCTTTTTATGGAATGAATATAAATATTTGTCTTGAAAACACACAATAGTTTTTTTTATTTTTCAACAGATGCGCACCTCAAGGCTGAAAACGACAAATTAAGGGGAGGTAAGTTTATTTTCTAAAAATTTACAAAATGATTAATGAGTTCTTGGTAGTGTCTCCATCGCCGCCGCCACTAAATAGGGAAGTCAGAGAGGAGCCCGAGAAAATCAAAAAATGGAGAGAAGAACAAATTAAACGTTTAGAAGAAAAAGGTAATTATTTTTAATAGTAGTCAGTTTGTCAATAATGTAAATTCAGATGCGGAAGAAGAAAAAAAGAAGTTAGAATTGCGTGAAATTGCCCGAAAAGAATTAGAAGAATGGTACAAAAACCATGAAGAAGCAATTGCAAAAACTAAAGCTGCTAATAGGTAAGTTTGCGTTGTTTAAGCAAATAATAATAATAAATTTGCAAAAATTCACTTTTGCATTCCTAGAGATGCAGCAAAGTAAGTATTTTTTGATAATGAGCAACTTTTGCTAATTATTTGATGTTTATTTAGGAATGCAGAAAAACAGTTTGTTGCTGAGGATGATGAAATCGTACCAGGGACAGAATGGGAGCGAATCGCAAAACTGTGCGATTTTAATCCAAAAGCAAAACAAGGAAGTAAGGATGTTTCGCGCATGCGCTCTATTGTTTTACAATTGAAACAGTCTCCGATTCCCATTAACAATAAGGCTTAGGTCACTTAAATTTATCTTTATACATATATTTAATCTACAAAACGTTGAATAAAAGAAAGTAAGATGATGTAGATTTCATTTTTGTATTTATGTTCTACAGTAAAATAATTAGAATAAGAAATAAATGTTTTAAAAAGGCTGGACTCTTTTACTACCAGGTTACCGTCCAATGTAGTTGCTTGAGTTTCTTGCAAGTTTTTGAAATGTCTTGAAATATTGATGTTTCGTCTAAAACTTTACTAAGATCATATAAAAAAAAAAAGATATTTTCTCACCTCCTATATCACAGTTGAAAAAGGTCAGAATTTCTATTTTTGAACAATTTTCAACAACGATTTTTAAGGCATCGTCTGTGACTTTGCAACAGTTATCTAATCGTAATTCACGTAAAAATTGCCAGTTTTTATTTTCAACAGCTTTGCTAATTCCTTCTCCACTGATCTATAAATCGCCGATTAATAATAAAACAAAACGGACTAGTTGCTTTACATTATTGTTCGACACTGTGAGACATTCAAGTTTTTTATTATTTTGGGCTAAATTTGCGAGTCCATCGTCTGTGAAGCTGCAACTTTCGGCTAAAAGTTCACGCAGGTTGGGACAATTGATTGATAAACATGTTATTACATCGTCGTTAAACTGCTTACAGAAGGAAATATCAAGAACTAACAATTTGCTAGTTTGTTTCAGGAATATCATCAAACCTAAACAAATTCCATCATAAAAGTACAAAGAGAGTTTTAGTTTTACTTTCGCTTGAAAAATCTTGATTTTCGCAATTTCTCAAGTTTATTTCAGTCAGCTGAATGCAACTTTTCAGCACTTTCAGTGTGCCATCATCGACGTTTATCGATGATAGGTTTATGTGATTTAGGTCGGGGTAAATTAAATCGGATAATAACTTATTCACATTCTGTGATTTACCCCTTAATAATTTTCGTAAAATTATCGGTTTGATGTAGGAGGGCAAATAATTCAAGTTTTCGTAAAGTATCAAATTGGATGCGACACAATCCGCTGATCTGAAACTTGCATTAAAAACAAGTAGAATAAAGTTTGTACATACAATGAGAATAAGGAGGATATTGGTTTCTTGAATGCCCTTTTTAGTTTTGGCATAGTTAAAACTAAAATCTTTTTAAAAAATTATTTGAGACAGCTGTCACCTGTCATTTGAAACGTCAACAATTACCATAACCTAACATTAAAAAGGGACAATAAAAAATTTCTGAAAATTTTCGAGTCTATTTGGTAACTACATGACTATATTTGTTTTACATTACACACCCGCACTTTTTTGTAATAATTGTGCAAATCTATTGGTAATTAACAAAGAAACGTCAATAAATCGGTCAACGCAATTTGTAAGACATGTTTCAGTTTTGCTGTCTAGTTTATTTCCAGTCTTCTCCACACACTTATCCCAGCAAAAGTCGTTAAATTCGTGTATCTAAAAAAAATGTATGATTTTAATGCCCAAATTGTAATGACAAAAATTAGGTACTTGTGCATTGAACTGCGCTTTCTGTTTTTCAACCATGAGAAATTCCTGCAATTCTTTGTCACCAGGTTTGTGGTCGCCACTTGTCGAAAAAGAGTCCCCAAACTCACTCATTTTAATGAAAAAGGGATAAAGACCAAAAGAATCACGTTTTTAATTTTTAACATTCAAATGTCAAAAGAAGAAGAAGAAATGTCGGTGAGGAGAATTACCTTCGGCGCGAAATCTCATGCCAATCACAAGTTAACAAAAAACACTAAAATGTTATTTCGGCAATTTTTCACAATTTTATAAATAAAACAGGGTAATTAAGTTATAAAAAATTATAAGTCGGAGAAGGAGATTTTGATGTTACAATTGCAGACACAGAATTTTGGACATCAAATTTATGTCAGTTCAAAAAATGTCAATGTAAGTCACGCTTTATTGTCATTATGATTGACATTTGAAACTAAAATTTGAAAGTTTTAGTTTGGTGTCGATTTTCCGAAACAATAATACTAGCAATACAAGTTGAATAAATTATTTAATTATGTCATTTTTTCTCTAGCTCTAGCGGGGTAAAAATTAAAAACCGAAAGTGAGGTTAGTTGCCTAAGGCCCGTTTTACATTTTTATGTCAGTCGAAAATAAATCATCAAAATGTGTTTAACAATTATATAATCATCTTGTTTCTGTACTTATGAACACGCTATTCCATTAGTCAAAGAAAGGCAATATATCAACAAGCTGGCGTGGAGCAAATCGGGCCTGAAAATCCTTATTTTGGTTGGTAGACTTTTCAGGGATTTTAGCTTCACTAGCTGGAACTGTGATGTCCTTCTTTAGCTTTTTAGGCTTTTCATTCAAAGCTCGGGTTCTGAAAAAATCGTTTTGTGTCTTATAATTATTTTGCAATAAGCTTGTAGAAAGAAATTCGTCGTGGTCATTGTTTAATTCATTATCATGATCGTTGTTTCCCTTAACCACTATAATATTTCTCGTAAATAATTGAGACAATGAGACTAGTATTTCCAAGACCAAACGAACAAGATTTGGTAAAATGTCCTCATTGTTCGATTCCTGAATCGCATTCCTGAATGTCTGAATTAGAGCACGAACTTTTGAACTGAAAAATCTTAAAACAACATCAGGAGCTTTGTGTTCGAGATAACGGAAATGGTTTTTCAGTTTAGAAACTGCTCGTTGTACATTAGCATTATTAGAGTAGTCACTTTGCATAAGCAACGATTTATAAAAAATGCTTCCAAAATGAATGAGTCTTTTTGTATAAAGATTTGCCAATGTTTTCAATGTGGTGTCCAGATTTGGTGGTAAACTGCGTGGTGGAGTATGTGGGGATTCGGGAAGTTTAAAAGTATCGTCTGAAATGAGTTTTTTTACTTAAACTTTTGACAATAAATTTTTTACCTCTTTGGACACCCTGCAGTAGCACCAAGTTGACCCAAGAATAAATCAGTAATAATGTCGTTAACAATTTCATGTCACCTTTTTTTGATAAACAAAGTAAAAATTGAGAACTACGTATACTAATCGGAAAATATTTTGACACCTATTTTATAGTAAAAAGCGATTTAATTATTTATTGTGTTTTTATTACGTGTTAAATTAATATCAATGTAAAGGAACGATAAACAATTATTTGCATAATTTTCACTCATGATTGATTATAAATAAATAAATTTTATTACTCTGTGACACTGAAAAATAATCAAAAACTCTCCTACCTACAACACAAAGATTTTTGTAAAAATGTTTTTCTAAAGATATGTTCCAACAAAAAAATTAAATACAAAAAATACAAAATAGGTAAACCATGTTTCATCTTTTTATGTCTACTCCTAGGAAAAACAAATGATACATAATAATTAACTGTCTGTTGGCAACAAAATTAAAAAAAATCTTTTTAAGTAAGGCATTGCTGAAAACAGACAGATATTTAACATGAAAATTGTAGGTTATGTAGCAATGTGAACAAAACCCTATTCCGGAGCAATTCCAGTATTCGGATTAGTCTTTCCAACGTAACCCCATTTTTAAAAAACTAATTTGAAACTAAAAATTTAAAGTTTTAAATAGTGGTGTCAGTGACTGTCATCCGCAGCTGTCAATTGTCAGGTCGGCAGAGGTACCATCAAAAATTAAATTCAGTATTGCCAACAGACACAGCCATTCTGTGTTTCTAAAAATAAATAACGATTTAAAGAAACATGTTTTTACAACATTTTGTTCCAGTGGTTTACCTGAATGTTAGAGAAAGTGAATAATGATTGCATTTCATAAAATTTGAAGTTTAGTGTATTTCATACGCTTCTAAGTTAGTCAACCAAGAATACAGCAAAGCGTTACCTGTGTAAACTAGGTGTTTTTACCTACGAATATAAACGAAATAAACCGATATTTAAAATATGTCACGGTGTTCACACACACATTCAATAGCCGCTAGTACGCGTTTCTTACTTAGTAGTATGAACCTGACCTTGTAGTGTTTACTTGTGACCGACTTTCTAATAACGTGTTTGATGACGCAAAAATCATACGCGGATACTCTATCTTATCATTAAACAATATCTTATGAATTATTGATTATCACACAATCATATTACATAAAATAAATCTCAAAACTAAATAAGGTGAGTTCTGAAAATGTTTTGTTTGATGTAGGATTCTGATAAAGACTCAAAAAGTGGCAATATGTCTGAAATTGCTTTTCCTGGACTTATTTTACAGTTAAAAGTTGTGACTTCGACTCTCATTAATCTTTCATAGGCCCTAATAGCCCTATAATGAGTTTCCTCCAATTATGAATGAACCGGTAGTTGATGTGTTTAATTGGTTGCATAACCGAAATTTCAAAATGAATAATTTGATAATGAAACTGTCTTAATTCCTAATACAACAAAATAAAGTCTTATCTACTCCAGACAACATTATGTTGAAGCTATTTGTTGAAAAAATTACACTAGATGCTAAAACTCATTTTGTTCTTAATTCCAAAGGTGATCTGTAAGAAAGCTAGATTTGAATCAAGAATCTGAAATAAAATGTCTAGAAGTGGATATACATGTGTGAGGCATTTATTTTGTTGGCTGAACGTTCTCCTTTGGGTAAGTTTTTTCAGTTATACAGGGTGGATGGAAACTTTTATTTAGCACTTCCACTCTGTATAGCTTTTGAGGTACAAAAGTCTGCATCGAACTGTATTTCAGATTACAGGTTGTGGAATTTTGGGAGTTGGAATCTGGTTAAGAATAGCTTATGAGGGGTATGCATCTTTACTCCCCCAATACGCTTTGCTTAGTGCCGACTCACTTGCAATAGCAGTTGGTACAATAACGTTTATTTTAGCTTTTCTTGCATGTTGTGGGTCTTGGTTTCAAAGCAGATGTATGCTAGTTACTGTAAGTAGTCCTCGCACATTTCTGAACCATAATAACGCTTTGTTAAGTATTTTAGTCTGGTTATATTCATGTTTATAGCCGAGTTTCTTGTGGGGTCGTTAGCTTTCGCGTTTCGGATTTCATTGGGACACACATTTCGTCAAGAGTTGCAAAATGGGCTTTGGAACCATTATAATATGACGGCTAAAGGGCCTGATAGTCTGGTCACAATTTGGGATAACTTACAATCAGAAGTAAATACAATTTTTAAACATATTTGTTTTAATTTAATTTGTTTGTATAGTTTAAATGTTGTGGTGTGGAGAATTATCAAGACTGGTTTATGATAAACGCTTGGCCAAATATGACTTGGGTTCCTGATTCGTGTTGTTTGCCGTGGAAAGCAGGCGAAAATTGTGGAAAATCAGGGGATGCAAATGATTTTTATATGACGGGTTGTTATCATCAGATCCATATGTGGTTTGTGCAGAGACTTCATATTGTAGGAATTGTTGGGCTGGTGGTAGCTTTTATACAGGTGATGATGTTCAAATGTGGGTTTGGTTCATTTTAATTATTTTTTATTTCAGCTCTTTGGACTTATTTCTTCGATGTTGCTATTTTGTACAGTTAGGTACAAAAGGACGTCGCGGACATATAAATCCTATCAAGCACACTCGTAGATTTTATGAGCCAAATTTCAGAATGATTAAACAACTCATTTGCAAGATTACCTAGACTGAAGTTATAATTTTAATCTTGTCATTGTGTCAACGTTATGAAAAAAATTAAGGCAAAAAAGAATTAATATGTAACCAAATTGGCGATATTTCATGTAAATTCGCCTGGACTTGTAGTTTTAGAGTTATGATTTTTTATTTGTGAAACTTTAACTTTAAAGTCGCGGTCAATTCATAGTGGCCATTTAATTTATTGCAAAGTTGGCAGCCCCCAGCCCGCCACTTCTAGAGTGTGGGTTTTGTCTATGTTGGCAGCAGAAGTAACTAAATTACAACAACTCAATTTTTGCAAATTTACACAAGGAAGTGGTCACTATAAATTGAGTGTGACTTTAAATACTTTGTACCTGATGTTCTGATGTTTTTTTCATTTTTTGGATTATTCCAAAAAAAACTTTGTTTTATAGGTTTTAGTCGATGTCTCGAAAAAATCAAGGTTTTATAAAAATCATAATTTTATAACCAAAAATTGAATCGAATTTAGTTAAGTATATGAATTTTTTTCAAAGCGCCATTGTAACAGATTTTTACGTAGATTTTTTTATATAAATTGTCATTTTAAAAAAACTCAAAAACAATACAAAATTTTATTCTATAACGATCACATTTGTTATAGCACATTAATTTTTATTAATTATTAATTTTTGAAGCCAAACTGCTTGGTTCCACACTTTTTTATCGTAAAATTATGGGATAATCTTATTTATTAAAACTGAAAATATTTTGTTTTGACAAAAATGCTCAAACAGGTCTTTTTTAGTACTTTTTTTCGAAAACTTTATGTAATATTTAATATTTTGGTGTTGTCATTTCGACAAGATCTATCGGATTGGTTAAAAAATTAGGGGTTTCCATTAAAAAAAATGTAGATGACGTCATTATTCAAAAACTAAAAATTGTAAAATTTTAAGTCAAGTTGAAAGTTGTGTGTTCGAGTATTTTTGCCAAAACAAAATATTTTCAGTTTTAATAAAATTATTCCATAATTTTGCCGCTCACTGTATATTTTTGTATCTAACTTCTCTTTTTAAACAAAACAACATTTATAACTTGTTTATTTATTTGCATGTATTTTATTGTATAGTGTGAGAATAGTAACTTACATACCATTAAATTGGCGTCAAAAAATTAGGGGCAACAAAGTGATTTCTAGAAAAGAAACTGTATATTTTTTTATTCATGAAGGCACAAAAAGTTGGTTGGTTGGTTATTTTTATTTGACATTTTTTCTTACGATATTCTTAATTTTTTTCCGCCAGTTGGTTGTCGTTGAGACTTAACTTTTACATATTTTAAAATTTTTTACACAAATCGTTGTTTTCACTGTAGAACACACTTTGTTATTTGTTAGTCTTTATTTTTTCCTTTGTTATCTAAAAATTGTGATAGTACACACGGAGAAAAAAGTTAGTACGTACCACTTTTTTCAAATTTAAATAGTGCCAAGTATTATTATTCGCAACATTAACTCGATATCACGCCAAAATAGCAGTTTGAATTGTTGTTGTGTCATGTTAGCGCAAAAATCCTGTTTTTTTTCTTCGTTTTTAGATGTATACATATTTTATTTATTTAAATTACTAATATTATTTTATGTCTGTCATGTTTATTTACTGTTGGACAATAAAATTATTTTATTATTGCTACTTTTGATATTTTAATCGTTAGTCTAAAAATCAAACTGCTTCATAGCAAATGGCGCCAAATTTCGAAAACAGCAGATGAGTGAATCCTCAAATCAGAACAGTTCACGTGATAAATCTGCTCATGCGCACAACAGTTCAACATTTGGTGTCGTTTGCACTGTAGAAAAGAGAGTGTTTACGCAAATTTTCTGTGTTTTATGAATTAAATGATAGTTTGAATCTGGTTATCACATTAATTATGGTGGAAAACAAACTTTTCTTGATTAAAATGCAACATTCGAAGACTCTATTAAAATAAACGGTTTGGACCTTATAAAAACATTTCAGAAGTCAGTTGTGTTGTTTCAAGGAAAAAACGCATTTTGTGTTGTGTTTAGTGTCTTTTCTACAAAAAATGGCTGCAGAAAATATGGATTGGACGAAAAACTATAGTGGCCATTATGTGAGTAGCTATTGTAAGTGTAAGTATGTATCGTTTTTTTTTTTTTTAGAAAACGTCTACAGATTTGTCAACAAGAAATTACCACCCAGGATTTGAACTTTTAGGAAAATTACGTTTTTTATGTTGGTGGTAACTAGAATTTTCAGAAGTAATTGGTTTGGTTACCCTATCTTTTGTTTGTCACCAGAAACCAACCTAACCACAAATTTATGGCAACCTGTTCACGAATATCCCAAAATCCTAGGGAGTAATTTCTTGTTGATACGACAATATTTATGGAGTTTTATAATGAATATAATATTAAAAAAGTCTATAGTTTTGGAACAGTATATTAAAAAACAAATTTCATGAGACAAGTTTTAAAGTACGAATTTAAGTTTAAAAAACGAGTGGCGTAGCCACCAGTTATTTTAATGAATAAGTGCTTCAAGGTCTTATGAAACGATTTGTTTTATATTTTTTGTAATTTGCCTTCTTTATTTTTTAGAGAAATATTTACTTTAATCGATTTAGGGATTGTTGTGACAATTGGTAATGTCCAATAATTTTAAAAGTCAAAATTTGATCTAGGTGCCTATTATTAAAGAAATTTTGCCAAATTTACCTGATATAAACTTATGTTTGTCCCCGTTTTTTTTATGTACAATTGCGGACATGGAATTTTACACATCAAATTTATGTTAGTTCAAAAAGGTCAATGTAATAAGTCACGCTTTATTATTGTCATTACGATTGACGTTTGAAACTAAAATTTGAAAGTTTTAGTTGCTATTTATTTTTGGCGTCGATTTTCAGAAAGAATAAAATCATGATAAATTATTTTGATTTGTTGTCATTTTTTTCTCTAGCTGTCAGGATAAAAATTACAAAAATCGAAAGTGAGTTAGTTACACAAGGGTCATTTTACCTTTTTGTGTCAGTCGAATGACAAACCGTCCAAAATTCCGTGTCCGCAATTGTACTGTGAGATCAAAAATTATTTTGGTCAAGGGTGGTCATGGATATTAACATAATTGTCATAGGTTATGTATTGACAGAATTATTTCAAATGGTTGACAACAACAACGTTTTCCATTTCATAACCTCCCTTGACCAATCAAAGTTTATTAAAAACTTATATCTTCTTATATCGTTTAAATTAAAAAAAAACAACACTTTATTAGAAGTTTGCGGAAGATTACAACATATATAGGTATTATTATGTACAATAAAAAAATAGTTTTATTTATTACTTTTTAAAGAGACACTTGAAGTTTCGTTATATTCTATCCATATCGCTAATTCCGGAGTTACTTCCGGTTTTTCCTTCTTATTCATTTCTAAGTCGTCTACTGGAGAATTAACTAAAACTTCATTAATCACATCTTCAACATTACAATTAGTCAGTCGAGTTCGACACAACACGATTGCATTTATAAAATTATCGGATGGTGTCAGGAAACGATGCTCCATGTATATACTGTCTTTGTCCCAATATTTAACCTGCAAGAAAGTAAAATTAAAATATTCAAAAAAATACAGAAAATGTACCTTTGTAGTGATTTGATATCTTTGGAACAATTTTATAAATCGTCTATACCTTATAGTCGACGCACCCAAAACCAGACCTCCACCATGTTTCTTGATACATTTGTAAAGACCTGTTCTTTCGTAAAAATCTATTTTAGCAAAGTCCAGTTCACGCAGAAATCGGGCATTGTTCATGTGGGTTAACATAGAGTCTATGTCGTTCGTCAAGCAGATACCTGAAAGAAAAAACAAGCAGTTTTGCAAAAAAAAAATACATAAAAAGAGAGTGAAAAACTGATTTTTTGTCCTCGAAGATAGACGGTATAGTTCATTTCTGAAATCTACAGATTGAGAGTTATATCTATTTGTTTATTTTGGGTATTGACAACAAAGGCAACGAGTATGTAAGTCTTAGATGAAACAACCTGTATGTAAATTTGCTTCATATACAAAGTTATCAACAAGAAATTACCACCTAGGATTTTAGGGAAATTACGTTTTTTATGTTGTTTGTAATTATAAAATTCAGAACTAATTTTAACACCTAAGTTTGGTTAGCCGTTGTTGGTACGATTGACGTATTCTGTCAACTTGCTGTCAACATCAATTGAATTGTCCATACAAGCTGACATGTAACTGACCAACCTAACCAAATTTATGGCAACCTAGTCACAGATATCCCTAAATCCTAGATTGTGATTTCTCGTTGGTACAGTTGGAGACAAAATACTTTGGTCGTCACTTTTCTGACACTTCAATGTAATTCAAGCTTTAACGCTAAAATAAATGACAATTTCAAATTAATGACAGCTATTATATTTTCCTATCAAAAATATATACAACTTGTCACCATGATTGACAGTAGCTAAAAATAAGGTTAACAGTTAAACCACGTTTTACAAGTGACATTGACGACCAAAGTATTTTGTCTCCAACTGTACGACATTCATTTTTGTTTTAGACTAGAGTAGGCTATGCAATTTGGCAAGTTATATGATGGCTGAATGACAATAAAATAGCCTACTCTGGTCTAAAACAAAAATGAATGTATTATAATTATGTAGGTAATAAATATATACAGGATGTTCAAAAAATCGCGCACTTCCTTGACACTGTCTTCGGGCGGTGCCCTAGAAACAAGAAAAATGATTTAAAAAAATCTATCTCTAAAAATTTCAAAATTATGAGAGTTTAAATTTCGCACTATGACTCTATTTATTTTTGTTGGAAAAATAATTTTCCAAGTTTTTTTGCTACAGGCTGTTAGAAGAGGAAACAAAGAAGCTGTATCCTAAATTGTAACTCTGTTCAATGTTATTTGTGGCTTTCATTGTCACAATTTTTGTACCTTTAGTAAATAATTATAAAAAAACATATAAGATCAATAGACTTAAAAAAATGTCAAATGTCAAAAAATAATTGTCAAATTTTTTTGACAGAGAATTTTTTAAACATTTTTTCAGTACTCTGAGGGACTACCCAATTACTCCCTTTCAAGGAAGTGCGCGATTTTTGGAACACCTGTATGTTTTTAGAATACTTTATTGTTTTATATAGTTTTTTTCTTTATTTTTATGGAACGGATGTTTGCTTTTGATTAAATTTCTGATCTAAGTGGCTTTTGACTTTCAAATTAAGTTGGTAATACTGTATAAAAGAGACAGACAGATGTTAATTCCATACTACAGGGTGCCCATTTTATCTGTTCCCGCCATTTCATAAATTATTTTATGTAAACTATTCCAAATTGAATAATCGTAGTCGGTGCTTGACTATCGAAAACTTCCAAAACTTAAATTCAAAACTCAAATGTATAATAACGGGCACAACAGCAAAAATTAACAAATTATTGTATTATTGGTTGCCTATTTATGAAATTTAAGGTGGGAACAGATAAAATGGGCACCCTATATTTGTCGATATTTTTTGATATTGCCAACTTAATTTTAAAGTCACGGGCCGCTTTGATCAGAAAGTTAATTAAACGCATGGTATTAACATTGTTGAATGAGCAAGAAAAAATTGCTACTGAAGAGAGCGCGACATTTGGACCAGCGAAACGTGTAATTTTGGAACAGCCTATATCACTAGCAAAAAGACTTACCATTAATTACAGTTTCACTTAAAAGATGAACTTTTTTCCTTGACATCTTGGCAAGAAGCACACAGAGAGAGGCACGTAGAAAATAGTGTATTTCAAGAAATGAATAAAGAAATAAAATCAGGATTAAAACACCAAACAAAATATAACATAACATCATTTTAGTGAAAAAATTCAATTAAACGATCACATTACTGTACTGTATCACGTCTTCCTCAATACCTGACTTGAAAAATTCAACTGTTATGAAATTTTCTTATTAGCTGACTGCTGCAGAAATTTAAACAAAGTGGAATATAAACGAAACCGACACTTTTCACACACACTCAGGCGCCCATTTCAAATGTCAATAATTTTATACGCAAGCGCTTTTACCCTTATTTATGATGGCATTATCGATGAGAACCTTGCATAATACTAAGAATATTTAAAAGTAATTTTTTATACGTTTTGGTTTGTTTTTTTTTTGGGGACTTCCCCAGTTGGGATTTTTTCGGTTCGGGGTAAAAAATTACTCTCCTATACCGAGTGATCAAGAGTGCCTGTTTGAGTTGGCAACAGAATTAAGCTTGTTTGCAACACTGCAACAAGAGGTGACTTTTCTCAATTAATAACAAATATTAATGATGCTGTCACTCCCAAGTTGAAGGCACTGTACTGTTTTAATGAATGTTTTATTATATGATCAATTGTTAATTTTTTTTGTGTAATGTTATTTATTATGATTTATGACGTATAATGGCATAGTTTTTGTTTATGTGTAGTTTTCCTGTGCCCACTGACGGTCATTATGCAAATTTTAATAAGCGTGTTATTGAAGGATAGGAGACGTATAATAATTTTATAATTAATTTTTTATTTTATTAACTTATTTTTATGACATTGTAGTTATTTGGAAAATGCGTTAATTGTCTGGTGGATTTTTATATTTAAGGTTGGTGAATTTGGGAATTTCTCGCGATGGAAAATTCTCGCCTGAGAACTTTCGCTTCATCACGATCATCATACACGCGGTGCATTTTGCGTGATTTTTTTTGAGTTCTGAGTTTGAAATAAACTAATAAACAATGCCTCCCACAAAAAAACCTGATTTGCAACCGGTGTCTGCTTTCTTGATGTATAAGAAGACATCGACGAATAAAGAAATTAAGAAGAAACGCAAGAAAAGTAAGAAGATACAAAATCTTAGGAAAAAAGCCGAAGCGGAAGTTAAAAAACCGCTTTCTTCAAAAAAAATTAATGGAAGACACTCCTACAAAGACTCGTATGATAATCAAGTAGAACAAGATTCTCTTCCTTCAAAAAAAATTAATAACAGTCACTCGCAAGATCTTCCTTTAAAGAAGATCAGTAGCAGTCACTCTGAAGCTCTTCCTTCAAGAAAGTTGAATAGGAGTCACTCCCAAGATTCTTGTGATGAAAATATAATTGACAGTGATGATCCTACAGTAGAAGCACAAAAACTGTTCGAGTGGATAATAGAGCCCCTTGACCCGGAAACTTTTTTTAAAACGTATTGGGAACAAGAAGCTCTTCACATCAAACGGGGCAATAAAACGCACTACTCACATATTTTAAATTCAAGCAGTTTGGACAAAATCCTGCGAAATAATGGTTTATTTTTTACGCGAAACGTTGATGTTGTGGCGTACGAAAATGGGGTTAAACAAGTTTTCAACCAGGAAGGGCGAGCGTCTCCTTCTGCCCTTTGGGACTTCTACAGTAACGGCTGCAGTATTCGTGTCTTAAATCCTCAAACTTACAGTCGCAAAGTCCATTTACTTCTGGCTACTCTTCAAGAATATTTTGGCACAATGGTTGGAGCGAACGTATATTTAACACCACCAGGAAGTCAAGGTTTCGCCCCTCATTACGACGACATTGAAGCTTTTGTTATACAGTTAGAAGGCCGGAAACACTGGAAGTTGTACCAACCAAAGTACATCTCACTTTTTTACCACAGATATTTCATTTAATGTTTTCAGAGATGAAGATGTTCTAGCTAGATTCTCAAGTCCTAATTTTAAACGTGAAGAATTAGGGGAACCCTTCATGGAGTTGACTTTAAATGCCGGTGAACTGCTGTACTTCCCCAGGGGCACCATACACGAGGGTTGCACTGATGAAGACTCACATTCGTTGCACATCACAGTTTCTGTGTATCAACAAACGTCATATGTGGATTTATTAGAGCACATTTTGCCCAAAGCACTGAAGAAAGCCGCCGTTAGTGATGTTGAGTTTCGAAAAGGACTTCCTCTCAATTATTTAAAAGATTTTGGAGTGGCCACTCAATCGAAAAATCGAAAATTCCTCACTTCAAAAATTAAAAATTTAATGAATTGTTTGATTAACTATGTGGATATTGATCATGCAGCTGATCAGTTGGGCAAAAAATTCATGTATGACTCGATGCCTCCGATTTTAGCAAAAAGTGAGACGGGGAGAACTTCAAAAGCAGATGGGCCGGTTTTAAAAGATGGTGTTGTTACAAATAGGTAACTAGAGTAATATTTTTTGAAGTCACATTTGATTGATTATTTTTCAGAGTTGAAATTGATTTAGATACTAGAGTACGTTTATTGCGTTATTATTGCATTCGTTTAGTTTGTGACGACAATTCGGCCCCAAAACTCTATTACAACACTCAAAACGCTACAGTTTACCATGGCGAAGAAGAACAATGGTTGGAATTGGAACCGTCTATGGTACCTTTAATTCAAATGCTTCAAAACACGTATCCTCGCTACATTGAAGTGGAAAAATTACCATTGGAAGACATGGCGGTTAAAATGCAACTAGTCTTGGATTTATGGGAACACGGATTGTTAATCACCGAGTATCCCCTAGATGTAATAGATTATTAAAATTTTGAACAAAATGTTATTTTGAAGAGAAATATTTTTTTCTGTATTTACACTTGACTACAAAAAAAACGCAAATTGTTTTTTTTATACTGTAATTTGGCCTGTTAATAAATGTCAGTTTTTTGACGTTTTTTTTTGACAATTTCATAATTGTCCAAGGTTCTAACAAGTTTTTCTATTTTATTCCATTTCGTGTTTAGCATTGACTTATGGCAAGACCACCCAATACGACATTTCTTTTGATAGTTTTCTAACCTTTTTGGGAACAACCTTTTTCACACTATGTAAAACTGAAAAATTTGACAACTTTGTTTTTGACAATTTGCGTTTTTTTTTTCACTCAAGTGTGCAGTTGGAGACAAAATACTTTGGTCGTAATTCAAGCTTTAATGAATGACAATTTCAAATTAATGACAGCAAAAATATGTACAACTTGTCAACTATGATTGACAATAGTTAAAAATAAGGTTAACAGTCCTAAAGCATGGTTTACAATTTAATGTCACTCAAGTGACATTGACGACCAAAGTATTTTGTCTCCAATTGTACATTCCCGTTCTAAAAGTTTATGAATTCTAAAATCTTACTGTTTTAGAGCTAGTCTCATAATAGTTATTTGTGTTACAAGGGAGGAAAGTATCTTTTCCTCCCACAGGTTACTGTCGGAGACTTGTCGAGGGAGGAAAAGACACTTTCCTACAGTGTAATGCACATAATTTTTCCTACGATCCAGCAAGAAAAACTTTAAAAGTAACAATTTCTTTTGATATCCCAGTTTTGCCATTAAATCTAGCATGTTTTTCCGTTTCTATAGGGGAGGTAAAATTTTTACACAGAACAACAGGTTTCTATATTCTAATGTGATTCTAATATAGGAACCCTAGAGGTTACATACAGAGTGGTTATAAATGATTTTCATCTAGCCAGCTGTGAATTTTCCATGTAAAATAAAAAATGCCGCTTTACGAAAATAGGAGTAGCTACTTGTTTTAACTCAAAATTAAAAAATCGCCGTTTACTAAGCGTCCACTTCGAAAATAGACTTCAATTATAAACTTGTTTTCTTCCAAAGTGTTCATCATTATCAATTATTGTTGGAAATAATTAGTTGAAACAATAAAAGTTTAATTAACAACCATTTATTATTAACTAATAAGTGACACTAATGACAGAACTAGAGCTTTCAAAAAAGTAGAGCGGCACAAATAAAGTTACATGCAAAAAAATTCCAAAGCTGGCTAGATGAAAATCATTTATAACCACTCTGTATTATATTTTTATTGTAATTTTGACAGTTGACGGAGGACATTTTTTTTAATTGGATACTTGCCTTTATGAAAATAGGGTGGAAAAACTTACTTTTTTTTGTGTTGGGGAAAAATTGCTAAATTTCAGATGTTTGTTTTTTATGCAAAAACACTGGCGGACACGGAATTTTGGACGATGTGTCATTCGACTGACAAGAATGTAAAACGGGCTTTAGGCAACTAACCTCACTTTCGCTTTTTGTAAGTTTTATCCTGATAGCTAGATAGCAAAACAAAATAATTTATTGAATTTATATAAAACACGTATTGCTGGCATTATTGTTTCGGAAAATCGACGTCAAAAAAAATTTCAACAAACTTTCAAATATAATGACAATAAAGCGTGGCTTACATTGACATTTTTTTTAAGACATAAATTTGTCCAAACTTCCGTATCAGCCACTGTATTAAGTTTTGAAATCTACTATAAACAAATCTTGACTATAAACACTAAAAATCAATTTTTACATAAAATTTTGCAACACAAGTTATGAAAATTTGGTGAATTAGGAATTCGGGAAAACGGGATAACCATAACCAAAAAATTCACCGGTTGAGAAATCACAAATTAAATTTATTCTTGAATAAAATGGATAACTTCCAAAACTGCACAAAGGAGGTAGAGTGCAACTCATTTATAATTTTTTTTTTAATTTGAGTGTAGGAATTAATTGCAGAGGTAAAGGCCCTGAGGGCCCATAACAAACAATTGCAAAATATCATCCAAAAGGGCACATCTACTAAACCAGATCAGCCGAAATGCAATAAGAAACCATTCGATTTCCAAAAGTAAAAAACATTTTATTTTATGATCAATATTTGAATAAATTTCTAGTTGTAAATTCCACCACGTTTTGTTGAAATTCTTGTATCTGGGTTGGGACTACCAAGGGTATGTCACTCAGGAAGACACCGTGAATACCATAGAACACCATGTGTTTAATGCCCTTACGAAAACCTGTTTGATAGAAAACCGTTTCAGTGCCAACTACCATCGTTGTGGGCGCACTGATAAGGGCGTTAGTTCTTTTTCGCAGGTTCATTCTCACTAAATTTTTTACCAATTCAATAAAACCAAGTTGCAGGTCATATCTCTAGATCTACGGTCCAACGGTTCTGATCTGAAAAACGAAATCAACTACTGTAAAATTCTAAATAGTGTTTTGCCTGAAAATATCCAGTTTGTAGCTTGGTCTCCTGCTAAAAGCGGATTCAGTGCGCGTTTTGATTGTAAAAATCGCACTTACAAATACTTTTTCCCCAAATCGAACTTGAACATTGAAGCGATGAAGACAGCAGCGAATTATTTATTAGGAACGCATGATTTTAGGAATTTTTGTAAAATGGATGTGAATAATGGCGTTGTGGAATTCAATAGAACCATCCTGACGGTTGATATTAGTTTATTTCAGGATGATGGACGTAATGTTTCAGTTTTTGGGTTTAAAAGCGTTCTAAATTGTGTTTTTTAGGATATTCGATTCATGTTTTGACTATTAAAGGGAACGCTTTCTTGTGGCATCAGATTCGTTGTATTGTCGGGATTTTGGTATTAGTAGGTCAAGGTAAAGAAAAACCGGAAGTTGTTGTGGAACTTTTAGACGTGACAAGAAATCCGAGGTAATTATTTTGATAAAATACTGACTAAAAAACTTGTGATGTGTGTTTTTTTAGAAAACCAGATTATCATATGGCCAGTGAAGTTCCCCTCAACTTGTACGACTGTCATTATGATGACATAAATTGGATTTATGACAAAGAAGCACTAAACATTGTAAAAACAAAGTTATATAAAATTTGGATGTTCTCGTCCATAAAGTATGGAAATCGTGCTGAAAAAAAGTTTTTTTCTAATTTGCGTTTATAATACGTTTATTAATGTCTTGGCTATCTATAAAAGCACACTCTACTTTAATGAATTTAGGGTTATTTAGTTTTTGTATGCCGCTTCTGATTTGTTGGCTTATATTTTATTTATTATTATTATGTTGTAACAGTAATACTAATAATGTAAATTTTGTTTTTAATGACAGATGACAGAAATGATTCAAAAAATCAGGTGGGCGCCGAGTGTTACCAACCGATACCAACTAACACAAAATTCTCTAGACAAAAATATATTTTTTTCAATTAAAATAAGAAAAAAGGGGCGCAAATTTGAAAAAATAGCATAAAATACTCGTTTTATAATCAACCCTTATTTAATATACTATTTTTGATTGTTTTAGAACCGCAATGATGAAGAGTATGTTGTTGGATTTGGAGAAAGAAACGGGTGAAATGCATTGTTCTAGCGATTTTCTTATACAAGGCGTAAAATGTAAAAACTATATTCCAGTAATGAAAAGACAGTTGTGTGGTAAGTACAACCAAACTTGGTCGTACCAATGATTCAATCTTTTTTAGAGAGTCTAGAGGATAAAATTGAACATTCCTTAAAGCGACGCAAAAGAAAACAAAACCCAAGTTAACTATACAAGAATATATTCATAAATACATAAACAAACCGTTATCTGAATTGTGATTTTATAACTAATAAACAAAACGCAGTCCAAATACCTAACTTACTTTTTTACTTAACTTACTAATTAAACTTTCAATCATATTTGCGTCAACAAGACCGATAAATTTGTCAACAACCAGTCCATTTCTTATGGCTATGACGGCAGGCACAGCTTTGACTTCAAAAGTGTGGACTAGTTCAGCATGGTCTTCTACGTCTACAATAGCTAAGTCGATATTGTTGTCATGTTCAATCAATTCCTTCATTTTTGGGGTCAAAATATGGCAAGGTTCGCACCATTCAGCGTGGAAGTTCACAATTACGGGGTTATCAGAATTCATGACTTTGTTGAGAAACTCGTCGTTACTTTTAATTGTGATTAATCTGTTCAATTTAATTGAAGAACTGAAGCATCTACTGCAGGTGACTAATAAGTTTTTTGATGCTAATTTTGTAAAAATCATTGTGAGGAAATATGAAATTGTTTAATTGCTTTGGGTTGAATCCGCTCGACACAGTGGAGGAGGAAGAAGAAGATGAAACCCAAAAAGGCACTTGCTATTAGAAATGACAGCAATATCACACGATAAACAAATTTGTAGTCTTTCTCCTGTAAACAGTGGTACTTGAAAATGGTTCAGGGTACTGTTTATGAGCTTACGAAACTGTCACCCCCTTCAATAGGTGTTTTAGGATCCTCAAGTGGAATAATGATCAGTGTAATTGTTAAAATTGTTGTCACAATTAGGATAATCCAGGCGATATTATTTTGGTACTTTATCCCAACAACGAAAATGATAAGCGTCAATATCCACAGGATTATAAGGACAAAAAGGCCCACACCGATGCTTCCAATTATCATCACTAAAAATACACATATTTATTTTTTTATTAATAACTCGACACAATTTTATTGTGCAATTACCTCCACTTAGACACTCTTGGACTTCAAAAAGCACATTTTAAATAGAAAACCTGTAAAATAAATTAGTTTTAGTTTGTTTATTGATTTTTTACAAATATTTTGGATTATTATTCAACGAGGTTAGTATACGCACCTGTCTTTTGCTGCAAAAATCCCACAAAATCGAAAATTGAACCATAGCCGCCTGAGTTAATTTCAGTTGACCATGGTTGTTTTTCTTTTATTTGGCCACGTGGAGGGTTTTACTAAAAGTTAAAAAAAAATTTTAATTTATAATACGTTTATTAACGTCTCTCAGTAGAAGTCGTTTATGGCTATCTATAAAAGCATACTGTACTTTAATGAATTTAGGGTTATTTAGTTTTTGTATGCCGCTTCTGACTTGTCAGGTAACAAATTTTGCGTTGTTTCTTCGGCAATTTCGCGAATTTCGGGCGGAGTGCAAACTAAATTCTGTTTCTCATATTTTATTTATTATTATTATGTTGTAACACTAATAACTAATAATTTGTAAATTTTATTTTTAATGACAGACGGCAGAAATGATTCAAAAAATCAGGTGGGCGCCGAGTGTTACCAACCGATACCAACTAACACAACATTCTCTAGACGACAAAAATATATTTGTTTTAATTAAAATAAGAAAAAAATGGGCGCAAATTAGAAAAAATAGTATAAAATAACTTGTTCTTTAATATACTATTTTGCTTTTTAGATTATCACACTATCGCCACTAGTGGCGCTGGGATCAGCGAGTAAAGAGGTAAAGAAAACTGTAATTGGCTACAGTAATGAAATTTTAAATTTTCAGATGATATTTATCGCAATCCAGATGAGTTTCAGCCGGAATTTTTCAGCCGGCCCTTGTGTTTAAAAAATTATTGTTGAACAAGAATGACGTCACATGTGTAAGAATTTGAAACCAGCATTATGCCCCACTTGGCTTTTAACCACTAGACGATAAGGTAATATTAAGAATTGGGGTAATGCTCATTATTTTCGTGATTCCAGTGGGTTGTTATCTCCGGTGGTATTTGGAAAATTCTCCAATTTTGACGCATGCGTATTGTCATTTGTCAAAAATTGGTGTCGCATCACATGACCCGATTTGTCCCCGTGACCAAAATTGAAGGAAAATTCAAAAAATTCAAGTCACACAACACAAATAGGCCTATCATGGATATGCTGGACCCTCTGGATTCGAGGTAATATTTTGGTTTTGTTAATAAATATTAAATAATGGATTTATTTGTTATGTAACTGTTTCATTGGTGTGGACAAGGTCATACTGAATTCACTCATAGATAACTATTTGTCTAGTATTTTGCGTGTGTATTTTAGTGCAGAAGTTGAAGAGGTTGAGTCCAAAGTTATACTAAACGATAATGTCATATCAAAGAATTCCGTCGAAAGTGATGATGAGCAGAATGTTGTTGATCACCTTTCACCTCAGACCCTTTTGGAAACACCTCCCGATAACGAAGTACAGTACTCTTTGAGGTCTCCAGAAGGTAATACTTTTTCATTACTTTATATTCCTTATTGCTTTATTTTCTTGTAGGCATGATAACATACAGAGTCCTACAAGTGGAGGAAGGTGTAGAATCTGTGCCTCAAATTGTCACAACTGGTAGCAATTTCTCAAACACTAACGTTCAGCAAGTTCTCACCAGTAATCTCAATGGCCAAGTCTATGTTATTGGAAACCCAAATGATGTTTTCGCGACACAAACAGGGGCAAGGGCTATTGCCCCAAGATCCTCTATTATTGACAATAGCACTTCCGTGGTAACAAATATTAAGCGAGTAAGTGAAACAACTGAGAATTCATTTTTTCAATTTTTACAAAAAAAAAAAATAAATTAGAGTAGGCGTCGACTAATTTCTACAGTTGGCAACACATTGGGTTGTATGAATAAAGTTAAGTAGTAAAAGATAGACGTAATTTAGATTTTGTGAGAAAGAAAGAGACAAAACTATAGTAAAAGCTTTTGCTACATTTTATTCAAACCATCCATTGGCTGGCTGGGAATCTGGGGGAAATTTTCCACACAAACTGAAAGTGAAAATGACCATTCACCGTTTTCGTCTTGTACAGCAATAAAAATTTTCTGCTCTAAAGTGAACATTATTCCACTCAAAAGTTGTCAAAGTTTCCGCTGAATGTCAAAAATCAGGATTGCCATCTGAAGGACTTTAATCGTCGCCTACTCTAATCTATTATTTTTTTGATCGCAGGGTGGTTGTTATTTTCTTTTAATTTGTTTATTATAGCGGGACGAGAGGCGAAGAGCCACCCATAACGAAGTAGAGAGACGAAGAAGAGACAAAATCAATAACTGGATTACGAAATTATCAAAAATAATCCCAGAGAACAGCCCTCCAGATATGAAAGGCAATGGCCACTACGACGGACAGTCAAAGGGTGGAATTTTAGCAAAAGCGTGCGAATATATTTTAGAATTACGGGAAACGGAGCAAAAGTGTGACCTATACCAGAAAGAAAATAAGCAATTAAGTCAAGCACTTGAGTTACTGAAGCAGAAAAATGCCGTTCTAGAACAAGAAAATAGGACTTTCAGGGAAATTTTAAAAAGGAACGGACTTGATGTACCAAATAGTATAATGTCATAGATCTATGTAATTATTTTCATATACATACCTACATGTAATTTAAGAAATATTACACTATTATACTTTTGTTGTGTGTTAAGGATTTTTTGGAATTTTTATGCTTTGTTGCTACAAGATTATTAAATTGAGAATTTTTGTTACTGTGTAGTTTCATATCGTGCGATTTGATACCATTTTACGGTCTTAAAGAGTGACAGTATGTGTTATAATGAGGTGCCTATCTAGAAAGGAGACGGGATCACATAACTATGTACGCGTGATAACTGTATTTTATAATAAACACGACAATTGTCTATCTTATTATCATTATCCTTAAACTTTCAAAACACAAATGCTGAATTATTTCGTCGTAAAAGAATAAGTATATAGTAATAGTGCGCCAATGCCATTATAAAACGAGTATTTTATGCTACTTTTTCTAATTTGCGCCCCCTTTTTTCTTATTTTAATTAAAACAAATATATTTTTGTCGTCTAGAGAATTTTTGTTAGTTGGTATCGGTTGGTAACACTCGGCGCCCACCTGATTTTACAAATTATTAGTTATTAGTGTTACAACATAATAATAATAAACAAAATATGAGCCAACAGAATTTAGTTTGCACTCCGCCCGAAATTCGCGAAATTGCCGAAGCAACAACGCAAAATTTGTTATCTGACAAGTCAGAAGGGGCATACAAAACTAAATAACCCTAAATTCATTAAAGTACAGTGTGCTTTTATAAATAGCCATATTGAGAGACGTTAATAAACGTATTATAAACGCAAATTAGAAAAACTATTCTATCGAGAGATGAAGATAATTTGTAATCGAGTCATCTCTGGATCCGAAAACGTATGTCTGTTTTTGAACTAACTGCACATAAAACGTTAAATTAAATGCTAAGTTGAAAGGTAAAACAACAGAATGGGCTAACAATAGGTAAATCATAAGTTTAGTTTAATAACTAAATCATTTTTTTGATCATGCCATTTTACCTTTTGTCTTGTCATTTTATTTGACCTTTCACAGACATACGTCTCCGAATCCAAGGATGACTCGATTATAAATTACCTTGATCTCTCGATTTTTGACATTTTCCAAAGCCTAAAATTCAAAATGCGTTTCTGAGAACTCAGAATTTATTTTACCCGTGCTTTTACAAAATGCAATAAATATCGATAAATGAGAATACATTTGCATAAATGACAAAACCAATCCATAATCCCCCCTTTTCACAGTTTCGCTTTTAATTGTGACTGTTGGTTTTCCGATAGCAAACCAATATTTTCAAAAAACTTCAATAACTCCGCCGTGTACTCCTCGGGGTGATGATGATAATGGCCCACGTGTGGAGACTTCTCCCAACACTTCCAGTATGTCTAAACAATGACAATGAAATAATGATTCGGTATTTAAAAAATACTTACTTGTATTCCCATACTTTCCCAATTTTCGCGAGCCCTCAAATTTGACTTTTCCGATCCTATTGGATCAGTTTTGCTAAGGAGGAATAAAGCGGGTGCCCTCACAATATTTGTATGGAACATTTGACTAGCTCGAACGTAATGACATGTCGCGACTTTATCGAAAGTTTTTAAATGGTACCTAAAATCAATATTAACTCTATACACTCTATGAAAATTGGACTAACAATATGTATTGCTTCAACGCCGCTTGTAATACTTTATTCTTGGGGAAAACAGCAAACGGGAACCCTTCGGGAATTTCGGTAATATCCGCTAAACTATCCCAAACTTGCCCTGCAATACGGTCCGAAATGTGCTGGTAACGATTTCGTTCAGCCTCGAGTTGCACCAAAGCTTCGGCCCAGAGGTAGCCTCCGACGGAAAAAGCGTGCACCACCAGGGGGCTGTAGCATCTGTTACTGTCCAAGAACTTCAAAATGTCCACTGCTATGAGCTGCAAATTTTTGTTTAATCCACTTTTGTCATGCTGTTATTTGAATTAAATAAAACACGAGTTTTGACCCTTGTCAATTTTTAAGGGGTAGCCCTACTTTGAATATTCTGAGCCCTACTTTAAAACTTTGTCTTTTTAAATAACTTTCTTTAGAAATAATAAGTTATAATACAGACTGAACCAAAAGTAACGCACTAAATTCATATCTTTGTTATGAGTCATTTTTCAAAAAAAATCCTCGAACAGTCGATTTTATTTTTTTAAATGCTACATTGTAACACTAGTTGCATTTATGTCATTCGTTTTCGAATTTTTTTTTTTAATGTCAACTGACTTTTTTTATTTTATTACAGTTTTAGATAGTACACATCGTTATTTTTCTGGCAAGCATAAAAAAATAAAACAAAAAAATGCAAAAAAGAAGAAAACAAAATAAAAAAGTTATAGAAAATTTCATACAAAGAGCTTTATGTTCTTGTTCGTGCTTTATTTTATAAGAGTTGATTGATTTGTTTTTATTTTTTTGTGTTTAGATTTCATATTGTTATTAAAAATAATGAAAAAAGTATTGTTGGGCAGTCTTTTTTCGTGTTATTTTACGTTAAAAACATTGCAATTCCTTTTATTTGCAATTTTTAAGAAAATTGGAAAAACGATTTATAAATTAAGTTTGACTTGGAAAAACCAGTCCTAAATTTCAAAAACCAATCCATGAATATAAATTTTAACAAAAAAATGGAAAAAC